TATATATATAAACAAATAAATAGATAAATAAATTTATATATATATATATATATATACACAGAGTGTATGTATTTTAAATGGCGGCCACAAATATCTTTTGAATAATGTATTTTCAAGGGAAATCTTTCTTAGACAAAAGTTATAGAGTTTCAAGGGAGTCATTAAGTAGTAACTTTAACTGTGTTGTATATTAATAATTCTTGATTATTTCGTCAGATTTATTAATTTTTTAAATAGAATCGTATAGCTTTTCTTTAACACAATTCTATTCCTCTGTTCATTCTATGTATGAAAGCATTGGAGTAAGATCATTTAAAAGTGAATATTTTTCGAGATATTTTACTTTTTATCCTGATATTTTTCATGACAAAAAAAATATGAAATATCTCATGAAATATTCATTTTGTAAATCCCCTACGACTTTTTCTTTAAAATGCATTATTCGAAAGATATTTTGAGATCGTCATTAAAATGGGACATCCTCTGTGTGTGTGTGTGTGTGTGTGTGTGTGTGTGTGTGTGTGTACAGGGTATCTTCTTTCATTGATTGCAGTTGAATATCTCGGAATGTACTTGAAATATTAAAAATGATTTCAAACTAATGTTGCTAAATTTGAAGGGGAATACATAATGGTAATATTATTATGACTTCGAAATGCTTGTTCAAAGTCATTTAAGGTTCATTTTAGTTCAATAAAATGTTTTTTCTTATATTAATGGATTTCATATATGTTTGTTCACAGGAGTGCATTAATGCATTACGATATTTGTCTGAAATATTTTTCAACATTCTGAGTGATATTGCCAAGATATTTAGCCATATCATTTGAAACGCAAAACCCTGTATATATATATACGACATTGTGGTAGAATAATTATTTACATAACGTTTCAATAAGCTATAACTAGATATATGTATATATATTGACGCGTTAGGATATACTTCTGAAAACTTGAATAACAATAGAAAAAGACAAGTTGGAGAGATCTCGGTAAACCCCATAATTTTTATATGACATACAAAACAACATGCTAAGTCGATCGTTAAAACAATCAAAATCTTTACTAGAGAACAAAAAGTAATATAGCTATACTTCTCCATGGCAGCTGATATTGTTATGTTCGTTGTATATCTACTTTCTTTATGCTATTGTATACACACAGTTTTACGTCTTGTGTGAATATATACTGAAAGAAGAATTTGGTAATAAATATTACAATTTATCTGTCAACAAAATATTGGACTACTACGATCAAATAATTTAGTTCTGTATATTGTATATACAGTACTGTGTAGTTCCGTATATTGTATATTTAGTATACTTTAGGAACTGAATTGTTTGGTTGCAATAATCAAATATTTGGTCGGCAAATATTCACCAAATTTTAGTACTTACTGCCAAATCCTTTTTTCAGAATATATGTACACGTGTCTTGTATACACGTGTCATGTTATATATTCGTTATATCGCAATACTTTCAAAACTGCCATACGAATTTTTCAAGCTGTCTCCAGAGAAAATTCTTGTAAAGACAAAAATAGAAGAATCGAGATAAACAAAACGAATGTCGATTATTAAGGGGATTCCTCTTCGCAATTACAGGTACACGAACGTATTCAACGCGACGAAGACTGAGATAATACTGCAGATAGATGGAGGAGACGAATGTATTAGAAACTTAATTGATTAGATAATGTATATAAATACAATTAGTCACAGGATAGTTGTAATCTTTTTTCGATGACGCAACGCATCTCGTATCCGATAGGAGACTGTATCTCCTGAGAATTAATAAAAAATGAACTCTCTTATTGGACACGGGATGCGTTCTGAAAATTGTCAAAAAAAAGCGTTGCAACCGTCCTGTGGCTGACTGCACAATATCGTGATATAAAATCTACGTTTATACCAGTCAACGAGTACGTCCGATTTCCGTCGAGACGCTATACTCGACGCCTTGTTCTACCTTCACGTTTTACACATTAGCATTATTGGTAGTATTATTGTTTAATATTATTATTATTATTGTTATCTTCTCGTTTTGTACAAGAATTGTGTGTGTGTGTGTGTATGTGTGCGTGCGCGCGCGCGCGCGCGCGTGTGTGTGTATGTGTGCGTTCGCGCGCGCGCGTGTGTGTGTGTGGGTGTGTGTGTGTGTGTGCGTGCGTGTGTGTAATTTTCCGAAATAAACAATATGTCGGCTTCCCGGCGGGATCTTTCAGGAACCGCTGAACGATAGGACATAAAGGACGGGCGAATTTGCGGAGATACGCGATTATGAGAGACGTCTAAAAGGTGTATATATATATATATATATATTGACTTGAATTATACGCTATTAAGGACACCCTCGAATTGATCGATGTTACGGACACGTCCGAAAGAAGTGCACGCCTCTCTCTCTCTCTCTGCCGTTTTTTAAATCCTACTGTAATAATTGCCACAGGTGAATTGACTCTAATGACACCGGTTCCTGAAGGACCGTCTCACGGTGTTCAGCCATGATTCTACTATATATAGAATCACCGGGGAATCTACCGCTAAACGGCTGGGTAGTCTTCGACAAGCTTCAATCTTTCAACTTCATCCGTTGATGTTCGGACCTAGGAATTTTTCCGTGTGCGAATGAGAAGTTCGATGTATTTCCTCGGATTACGTACACCCGCGAGAAATCGATATCGAGTGACTGGTCCGCTTAATGAAGATCTAAGGCGCCTTACAATTGAACGGTTCCTAAACTCTTGGAAGCCGCGCGCGCCGATGCGTTTGTGTAAACTCCGCTGTAAACGATACTTCTGATCTCGGCTCGCAGATTTCGAGATCGTCCTGTTACATCGTCGCACCGGACTCGCATCAAGCTATTACGATATATATTCTCATCGTTTTCTAACGTTCTAACAATAACGAATAAACGTGGTAAACAAACACGTTGAACGTTCAATAGTAGTACGATCTAAGCCTTCACGGTATTGTATATATTTTATACGTTATATATATATTTAATCACACACACACACACTATATAAAGCGTCTGCGCGATCCTTGCGATCTCTTGCGAATCGTCCGATTGGATAAAGAAGGAAAAGTGCAGATAATTGTAGCCAAACGATTTTTATCGAACTCGCGAAATATGATTAATCAGAGAGCGACAATAAAGAGCGAATCACAAGGACGTAGGATACGCGAGATCCGTCGCAATCTGGCTTGCTTGCCGGTTTGTTGTCTTCCCGACTCGATATATCACGGCGTAGTTCCAGCGCGCTCGAAAGATCAAAGGACCTCGGAAGCGGAGATGCCGCCGATGTTACCGTGCGAAGTTCTTGCGCCAATTAAACTCGCGAGTGTGTTAAACAACCCGCCCAGAATCCAGAATCAGTCCCAAGGAACGCGCAGTATAGTGTTGTTGTAGATACTTTCATCGGATAAGGCTGAGTTAATTATTGTCTCTTTCGTCCGACGGGGAACCACCTGTAGAGAACCCCGATCATCCCCTTCTTCTCTCACCCTTTGGTCACCCACGAGTGAAATTTCGCTTGCTCCATCGTTCTCGTGAACTCTCTTCTCGCGATCTCGTCGTAACACCCGTTACTTAAGAATAATTCCATTCGACATTTCTTTACGTAGAATCCGCGAAGTACCCTTTGGAAAAAGTATCCGAGGAAAGATAATTTTCTGCTCACACTCACGCTAACGAGGGACCTCCTTTGATCTCGCGAAGACTCGTCCCGGCAGCATTTCAACGACACCAGGATTAAATCATAATTACCTCAATTCATTCTGTTTCACGATAAAGCGCGTATTCTTACGTCTTACGTTGCGAAAGATGGTCGCGATCAGGACTAGCGTTGTAATTCTATTGTGACTTTGATTATGCATATTTTACGTAGAATATATATAGACACACACACACACACACATGTCCCAGTAAGCAAGAAACATTAAATCAATCTTTCGAAACGTTGATTTTATGTGGATTTTATAGACATTTTGACATAATAATATTTTATAAATGTTTTTAACTTGTTACTTGATAATATAATATTTCTAAATATTAAAATCATATCGTAGGAATATTATTTTTAATATTTGAATCAAATATTATTAACAACAACGTTGTATATAATTTTAAGAACCGCATATTTGAAAAAGTTACATTTTATAAAATATCATTCTAATAATGTCGTGTTAATGATTTCTTGCTTATTGATATATATGTAGGTATGTATCGCGATAAAGCATTCGTTCACAATAAAAGTGCAAATATTTTGAAATTGTCATGTCGGATAAGGATCGCGCTTAACATTACGTTAACAATTTGAAAAACAATCTTCTTGCACACATTAAATATCACATATTCCTAACAGTTTTGTAGAAACGTGAATAAACTTAATTGCAACTTCCAACGGTCCTCTCGCACAGCACTGTTAACAGTCTTAACATTTAGCCGCAGACATAACGCCTCTAAAGATGCAAATTCATGGGGCGCTGAAAATCAGCGTCAAGCGTAGTCACGTTAATGCCACGCGTCAATGGAAAGAAGTTGAATTGTTTCGAGCGTCAAATTGCTCATGATGTTATATTAGGGCTAATAATGCCAGATTTCAGCCGTTGGCCGGACTTTTGGGCACATTCACTTAGCCACACGCAATTTTCATATACAAACGACACGATATATTGATCGAACACAACACCAATAAGGACTCTCAAATTTCGACTTCTTTTTCTATGTGTCTTTTATTATTCAGCGGATGACCTGTTTTGACGCCGGAAATTAGCGTCAGCATGAAATGGCACCTTAATGTCTATCCTAACAAGCTGTAACTCTACTGTATTTATACATTAGACGTTAGGATATAAAACGATTAATTGTCAAGACGCATTCTTTCCATAGTACTCAGGCATTTGGATGCGCGATATATAACGGTATAAAATATTACGTCTTCCATCGGTCTGTGGCTAAGAGTTAAGTTTGAAATTGCGAAACCTTGCAACAATCAACACGAGTCCATACTTTAACATTCATCTTTTATTTAAGCAAATTGCTGTCGTTACGTGCCAATACTCTCATATTAAATAGTAATTACACTTTAATACTGACAGTCGTGTATTGTCTGTCCGAGAATTTCCATCTCGATTTTAATTATCCCGAAAAAATCCGTAACTTTCATTCCCGTACCTTCTCGACTCAACTGCGGAAAATGTTTCGAACGGAAGCAAGCAAAATACTCGTTGGTCTCTTTTGTTAGCACCAATTGGGTACAATGCCTGTGTACTCACGCGCGAGCACTGTCTGGATTTTATCGACAAACCGGGAAGAAAGAAAGCTCCTTACCTAAAGCTTCAAACGGTGGTCGATCAATTCCATAGCAAGCTAAAATCGTTTTGACATGCAGCTAGCTTCTAGATTTTACGTCTTTATTATCGAGTAAAAAGGAAAAGGGGACGATCGAACAAAGTTTATGACGATTTACAATTGCGCGTCATCGTTCGCGATCCAATCGGGCGGGACGATTCTCGTGTTCCGGAATCGTGCTCCGATCGTTCCGCGTTTGAGCAAAGCAAAGGTCGGAAACAGATGGAGTCGTATTAGAATTCGCTGGGGCATACTGGGGGATTCATCTGACCGAAGACATTGAGCTCATAGAGCGACGCAAACACGATGAATATCAAGTACCAGAGCATCAAGACCACCCCGTACCGTCGGTCCAATTTCCAGCCGTTCAGATGCGTCGCCAGTACTAGGAATATTACCGTCGATAGTAAAGAAACAGTGGAATACGTCAAACCTAAGATAAGAATGAGGGAGAGATGCATAAATAACAAAAGATTATATACATAAGAATGTACGAAATTGAACTTGATACCTCTGCTGGTGACGTTGACATGCGAACCGGGCTGTATCATGGCTGTTTGTATGAACCACGGGAGGCCGAGACACACTAAGATGTCGAAAACGTTACTGCCTACGGCATTGCTGACCGCCATATCGCCGAGGCCCTCTTTTATCACTGCTAACGAGGAAAGAGCATCCGGCACGCTCACACCGGCGGCAACGAAGGTCAACCCCATCACGGTATCGGGAATGCCCAGAGTACTCCCTGTGAAATCGTCACTTTACCCAGATATAGCCCTATTCGATGGAACTGTTCATTCATTCCGACGATATGCGTTACCTATAATCGTAATCATCCACACCATTATGTAGCTGTAAAAGCTGATCCAGATCATCGATATGCAGAAGGTGAAGGGATACCAGCTTCGCCATTTCTCTTGCCGGCAATCCGGCATCGTCGCACGGCACATAAAATGAATGGGAAGTACGAGGCCCCAGGTGAATAAAGTCCACTTGTTACCGTCCGTCGGCATCACGAGGGGCGACACTTCGTTCGGATCGGGCTCCTTCGCTTTGTAATACTCAGGCTGTTTCGGTGGTGCCGGTTGCTCAGCCGTTTCCTGAACTCCGCTCCCTGAAAAAGGGGAAAAAAGAGAAAGGAAACGTTTTGAAAATACGCGAAAGATACGAAAAAGAAATAGACGATAGACCTTCTTGATTCTTCACTTGCTCGGTGACCGGTGAATTCGGACCTGTGTAGGATAACCGGTCTTCCTGCAAAGACCTGTAACTCACCAGGGCGCTCTCTTCGGCTGGTTCGTCGTCCTTCGGCAGAAACGGAATATTGTAAGACTTCGCCCAACGTTCCAATTTAGCGTTGAAGGAGAGCGCCACGCAGTACACCGCGTACATTATTAACATAAACAGAGATTCAGGCCTGCAAAAATTAATGTTAACGACAACAAATAACGGATGATTCAACCGAAAATATCGACGGGACCAAGAGATATCGACACTCACCAGGAGATGGACTCGTTGTAGATCGTACCGAGCATCACGAGAATTGAAATGGCATAGAAGAAACAGTCTCGGCAAAGGGGCCACCAATTTAATTTAGCGGCTGTCGCGGAACACAGTCCGCAAATCGATATAACAAACATTATATTAAAAACAGCGCTACCGATAACGCCGCTCACCTGCGGCACAAAACAAAATTTTTTTTATTGGACCGTTGCACCAGTAATTATAAGTAGAAGCACTATCTAAATTTGTTGAAGTGAAGTCTCACTCGAAATTCTAGACAATAATAAAATTACTGCTATTCGGAATCGTAACAGTGGATATTTTATTCAAGCCCGAAGAAAATTTTGACTCCATTCGAGTGAATATTTCAATTAGAGTCAGGATGAATTTGTTGCTGTGACGGTAGAATATATTACCCGGTGAGCAAAAACATTCAATCAATCTTTTGAAACACTAATTTTATATGGATTTTATAAACGTTTTGATATATTTTATAAATGTTTTTAAATTATTATTTGATGGCATAATATTCTTGAATATTAAAATCGTCATGTAGAAATATTATTTTTAATGTTTGTGTCAAATATTGTTAACAATGACGTTGTCATTGTTAATAGTTGTGGATCAGTGGACTGCCAGACTGTGCAAACTTTCGTCAAGGAATCTAGACGGCTTTATGGTGTCTGGTAAGCAGTGCCTAGTTTACCTGTTGGAGGACAGCCTTCCTGGCTATCGAGGGTGTCTCTAATAACACCGAACCACCAGATGATCTACTCGGAGGCGGCGAAGCGAGGCGTACCGAAGAAGTTCATGGAGTGGATTCGAAGAATGCTGGGTCACCAGGTTACGACCTCACTAAGGAACAGTGAGTTGGACTGGAAAGTTGGGTTGAGAGGAAATGGTGCTTGGTAGCGGACAGGCTACTTAACAAGCTTACTGATAGGAACTTCGATTGGATACGCCGGCGATCTGGCGATCCTCATCAAAACTCATGCAAGGGGCTCTGGAGATGGTTGACGAGTGATGCAAAGAAACTGGCTTGTCGGAGGAAGACGAGCTTCGTAATCTTCACTTGTAAATACAAGTTAGGACCCGTATGCCTTTTTAGAGGGAGTCAAATATCTTGGGGTTACCCTGGATATAAGAGATCTGGAAGCTACGCATAGATTTATTTAACATGTAAAAAAATCTTATTTCTGGATATGCAGGAGAACATTTGAACAGACGTGGGGCCTGAGAGAGTATTCCAGCTATACTCTGAAGTGCTCCGCCCAAGATTGCTTTACGCAGCGGTGGTCTGGTGGCCAAGGACGCAAAAGTCCAAAATATCGGTGCCAAGGCATTCATAATCAGATGAGCTCTAGAGAACCACGCCTATGGGGCTGCTATTTGGCATTGAACCGCTTCATCTGACGATGGTGGCGGCGACCGCCACCACTGCCTATCGGTTGAAGTGCGAAAGCATATGGAAGGCCGTTGCTATGCACACTCGGCTATCACAGGAGATTCTGTCAGGGACCGTGTTTGGGACAGGATGCCAACCAAACGCGACCTTAACAGATATTTTAAGATTTATTTCCCTGATTACGAGGAATGAAGAAGGCATGGTGATCAGGAACGGAAACGTTTGGTACGTTTGGTACGAATGGCTCCAGGACGGATGTGGCTCAGAGTGCCGGGGCTAGTATTTATGGATGCCGAAAAGATGTTAGAGAAATTATCCCACTTGGGGAATTTGCCACTGTTTTTCAAATAGAGATAATCATGAGCTGCGCTTAGACATTGATTGTCTCAGGCTAAATGGGCAAGCGCATTAGGATCAAAAACCGCACGGAATTATTGACCAACCAAATAAATGGGAAGGGGAAACAATGTGAGTTTCTGTTTATTTTTCCTTGTTCTCAACATTGGCATGACAACACTAAAATTTTCGTATTATTCCAATTTTTCCAAACCTTAAGGAAAAAATGGAAAACCCCAGTTTTCTTGAGCTTTCGGAACATTAAAGCAAATTCATCCTTCAATTTTCAATAAAAATATTCACTCAACGATCCATAGTGGGAAATTTACTCTGTACAAGAATCCTTGAATTCGAATGACTCGGTTGTAGTCGTACTTTTCGAGTGAAATTATACTTCGAGAAATTTAGAATACACAATAATGTTTAATTCATCCTTGACTGTAAGCAAAATTCACAGAATACAAATAATGACAAATCTTTGCAAATAAAAACGAATAATTGCGTGTTATATAACCCTTTTCGTCGACGGTGTATGTTTCGTGATAATTAACGAACGCAGCGAGACAATTAAAAGCGCGATTATACTTACTCCGATGTCATCCTTGGCAAAAAATACGCCGATGATCACCGTCGCCAGCTCAGGCGCAGAAGAGCCGGCCGCCATGAAGGTGGCTCCGGCGACATCGGGAGACAATCTCAATTCTGAAAGAAAAAAATTCATGTCTGTGAGGCTGCGTGCGGAAACTCCACCCGGTTGCACCCGAAGGGATTCCGTTCAGGAAAACGTTCGGGTGATATCAAAGTGATGACTGTCGTTCGAAAACTTCAGTTGGGTACACCTCGGAAAGAAAATTTTCCATTCTGAAATTTCAGGGTGGATAACTCGTTGCATTTGGCGGGAATTTTTAATAGCGTTTTTCAATTTATTAACTCGATCTGACTCGGTATCCTTTTAAATGTGCTTCGAAATGCGCTGACAGTATAAATTTATGGTTCATGTTACACAGTCATACATATTCAGTCTAACATATTTCAAAAAACATTTATAGCGAAATCAAGTCGAATCAGAAAACGATATTAATTTGTAACATCGGAATCGGTAAAATTAACTCACGGAAGACATTAATTATGTATTACTAAAGGAAATACACAACAATTTACTATTCTCGAGGATCTTTCCTAGTACTTGACATGATAAATGAGTGATAAATTGTAATTTACATGGTCTATCGTTCGGACACTATTGCATTCTACCCTGTCCCTATCACCACTTATTCTGCTTTACCTTCAGGATGGAGTTTCCGACCTGACATGACATACGCACTTTGCAAAGGATAGGTACGAATGAGCGTTTTGCTAATCGAAAAGCAAAAGCAGCGATCTTCGTTTTCGATAAAAATCGGATTAACTATGCTGAAATAATTCGTATTACTGCTTTTTAATCTTCGGATAACAAGATTGGTCGGATCCGACCATATTCTAATGCTCCGCGAACACGCTTGTAAAGCGTTATTTTTCAGGTATCTTATTATTTAACGTTATACTTGATTTACTTTTAAATATTTTATATATTTACTTATATTATATATATATCTATATATTTATTTATATTTATATTTATTTATATATTTATTTATATATATATTTATTTATATATTTACTTATAATTTACTTTTAAATTTATTTATAACTTATCGTGAAAATAAAAAGTTAATGCTTAGTTGAAAAAATTAGTTGAAAATCTACAAAATACATTTATGGGTCGAATTCAATTCATATGAACCTTGTTTTTAATTTAATAGTTAATAACAGCCTTGGTAAAAAATGTTTCATATTTTCTCAAAAAATTTTCTAAAAATTTCTAATATTCTAGATTTTTGAAAAATTCTAGAAAAATTTGAAAAATTTCTCAAATACTTTCAGAAATAATTGGATGAGCATATTCGAACTATTTCCGTATTTATACGTATGAAAATTTCCGAGGAATTGCGCGGATTTTCTCATATTCATTCAGATTTACAAATATATATTGGCGGAGAAATCTGAAATATTTCATAATTATTACAAATATTTATATGACGAATTCGGAAAAAAACTAAAAATTATTATTTTTGATGAATTTGAAGAAAATTTTGTATATGAAGTATTTAATGACTCTAGTGTATAGATGTAAATTATGAAAATTTTTCTTGCTTTTCCCTCTGATTAAAATTTCGTTGATGAAAAAGAAAGGAAAATATTAATGAAAAAATACAAAATACTCGGACAGAATGCGCCGTTAAAATCCGGACAAAATTGAATTTGAAATTCCTACTATATTAGAATTCAGCTGTAAGTACCACTTGGTACATATGTATATACAGGGTATCTCATTTTAATTGACCATGCCTGTTAACTTCGCAGGAAATAGTCAGATAAAAAAATATTCTGTACAAAAGTTGTTGGATTTGGAGGCGGGCATCCGACGATGACATTGAACTTTACGTAGATGTCATTGTTCAAGGTCAACTTCAATTTTTTTAAATAGACTGACCTACTTTTGACGTAGAAACTTGATAGAGGAGGAAATTTTACGTTAAAAACATGGGGGAGAGGGTGGAAGGTGTCCAATTGATCTCAAAAAGTCTTATGAAGATCACAATGTTTTTTGTGTCGAAATAATAATTCGTAGACCACAGGCAAGATCGTTTCTAATCCAGCCGTCTAAGGCAAAACCAAGAAATGACTCAGTCTGTCAAGACAATGTCTGGACACGATTCAGCCAATCAGGACAAGACCGGGGGAATGATCCAACCAATAAAGGCGAGATTTGGACATTACCCAGTCAATAAAGGCAAGATCCGGGCTTGTGTTTAATCAGTTCACATGTTTGAAAACACGGCCTCTCATTTGTATGTACAAGTTCAGTCGACGCCGAAAATCGTCGAAAATTTTTCGGAGGACATCTGCGTTAATAGTTGTGCATGCTTCTTTGATGCGGTCTTTCATATTCTCTAAAGTCGTAGGTTGCTCGGAATAAACTTGATCTTTGATATAATCCCAAAGATAAAAATTTGGAGGTGTCAAGTCTGGTGCGATCTTATAGACTATTCTTGAACCCAGCTTCCGAATCAATCAAGTAGGGCTTTCGTTAAATATTTTTTAATGATTCGAGATCTATGAGCCGGACTCCGTCTTGTTGAATCCACATTCACACTCAACCGCATGTCGCTGCAACAACGCTGCTCAATTTTCATAGAAATTCTGAGAAATAATATGAAAATTTATGAGATATTTTCTCGCCAAGGGGACATCAAGGCTGACCGGGACTATAGGATGAAACATAATCTTTTTGCATAAAACTAACCATCCATCAGTAACATTTTAGCTTGGCATAGGATTATGGTCTAGTAGAGAAAGAAAAAAAGAGACAACATGGGGTTGCACGCATATTCTCAATAAACCAAGAACATTAGATCAATATCTTAAAATGTTAATTCTATGCGCATCCCTCGAACATTCTTTTCAGTAATATTTTGGAAATATTTCAAAGATACTATTGGATAACGTGATCTTTTCAAGTATTATACAATTTTTTTAGAAATATCAATGTGTCGAAGTTATTCGTAATTATGTCAATGCAACATTAAAACTACACGTCATAGAAAAACAATACATACTATTGAACTATCGTTGCAATAACGTTTTATCATTGATCACTGATTGCTGATAAATTCCTTACCTTCACAAATTCTGTCTAGACTCGAGACAAAGTAGTCGTCGCAGACGATGGCGAGACCCAAGAATGTGTAGATAGCAACTACAATATGTATTATGAGTCCACCGTGTTTTCTAGCCTCGGGACCCATTAAGGGTTGCGGGAACTGTTCTATCGCGGGCGCCGAACAGTTGTCTCTTCGTGGTCTCACCGTCGGATATGGGTACTTCGTCGTGGCTTGGATAGCTGGAGTAACCTGCAACATTTTGAACGAGAGAATTCATTATTATTAAAAAAATAAGTTAATTGTTTCTTAATAAATATTTATGAATAAGTACTTGAAACGCGGCTCGAATTCGCCATTTCACGATTTATAACGGAGAGAAGTGTCACGTAATATCAAGCGTGTTAATATCGGCGGTACTGCAACATTCAAACCTTATAACTCGAAAAATACTTAATGCAAAGATATTTTATTGTAATGTTTTGAAAAGTTCTCTTGAAAAGGTAAACTATAAGAATATGCAATAAAAAATAGAAGAGTTTCCATTTAAGAAATTGAAGATGACTTTCGTGTGAGCTTTAGAAGACCATCAGAGGTCAAACCAATGACACCACCTTATGTCCCTCTTCAAACCATACAACTTTTGTATGAAACATTTTTCTCCGAAATGCACTGTTCAAGAGATATTCGGTCTCTCATCTCGTATCCGCGAGATATTACGATTTAGCCGCGTGCAATCTACAGGATATCCTCGGTTAGAGATTCGCACTCACTGTGGTAATGATGTCACGGCCATGCTTTAGCAGAGGCAGCTCTGTTTCTTCCTTCGGTAGCATCGTAGTCTCTTTCGACAAATCTCGTACGCCTTGCTCCTTCGGCGACGCTTCACCTTTAGGTCTCTCCACAGGAATTTCTTTTTCGGGCTTTTCCGCGACTGTCGAGGCCGTTGTCGTTTCTTCCGTGATCTCTTCGGTAGAGCCGCTCCAAGATTCTGTTGGCTCCAACGTCCGATCATCTTCGTACTTCGTATGGGTCATGGAGCTTGAAGGAAGCACTATCGTCTCGGACGATATCTTCGTTGAGGCGACGTATTGCACAAAAACGTAGATCAGGAAGAGTCCCAGTCGCAGAGGCCATCTCCTGCGACGCGTCAGATTACACGGTCCGCATCTCATTGTCTGTAACTGGAGCAAATTGGAACGGATCAAAACGCGTATCATTTCTTCTTTTCGAACGCGAATAAACTAGTCTCTCTTTCATGCTGACAACACACGATCGGACAATCAATAGTGAACGTCTTGATTATATTTATTCTTTTTTGTCGTATCGAAACACAGAAACTTAGTACAAAACGTCCTAGAATCATTCAGAATTGTTTAGAATATGTCTGGGATGTCTTCAGAGCTCTATAAGATCCTGAAGGTATCTACAATGATCTCAGGACGTGTACATGTTATTTGGAAAACTCATTCTCAGCGTAATAGTCGTGCGATATTCGTTTCTTCAAACGTGAATTCAAGATAGTTTGAAAACACGAGCTCTTCGGAAAGATTTAAACGTTTAGCGACATATAGTTATGCTTTGCAAGTCACATTAAATTATCAAGATCTGTCACGAGAGTTGTTCGTTATTGTGATAATCTATCAATAACAAAGGCGTGTGGTGTAAGGCGAAGGGACTTTCTACCTATTCCGTTGAAGACCGTTCTTACTTTCGCCTTTACACCGCCAACTGGTTTTATCGATATCTAAAATGATGTTTTCAAGTTCAGTTTGTGATATAGTCGTGTTTTCAAACTATTTGATCCGATGTTAAATACATTTCAGATCGGATTATGCTGCTTGATCTGTCCATTACAAATATTGAAATCGTGTACACGCACGCACATCATAAGCTCAAAGAAATGGTCGAAGAAGAGCACATCGGACGTCACACATGTGCATACGTGGATGACGTATGGACAGAATATGTTCGGGATATATATATGCGTATAGCCAACTCCTGAAACTGCTATTCGTGTGTTCGCTGTTATTAAGTGCAACGCGACTGAATAAATCGATGTTACTTGTTACATGCGTAAACTGTACCTAAGCGTAAAAAAGTGCCACTCGAACGTGAAAAGTGGGATAAATCTCGCGTAAACAAATTTTCGATGTTTCCACTTGTATTTTGGACAGACGCACGGCTCGTTCTTTGAGAGTATTTCGTACAAGCATAAAGCCTAGTAAATAAAAAACACTGGATTAACATTTTGAAATGTTAATCTTGCATATCTCTATCTTGAACATTTTAATGTTCAAGATAGAGATATGCAAGATTAATGTTTCAAAAATATCTCAGAGATATTACCGAATAATGCACAATCTTTATGAATATTGTAAAACTGTTTTGAAAATATAAAAGTGCTTCGAAGTTATACGTAACGATGTCGATACAACGTTAAAAACTACATACGTTAAAAACTATCCGGTAAACATCGACTAACGGTAACATTACATCAATGTTATAATTTCTCATTCGACAATATAAGTGTGATATAATAACATGCGTTGTATATAACAGTTACATTGTTGAATGGGAAATTATAACATTGTCGTAATATCATTGTTGTTTGGTGTTTACTGGATAGATATTAGAAAATATTGAACGCTATTGAATACGTTACAATTAATGTTTTATCGATAATCTTTTGTACACTAGAAATGTACGTCCTGTATTATTTATCTCGTAAATATTGCAAATTTATTGTGAAAATAATAGCTAATAATAAGTGTAAACGGTATTAATTTAAATCTTCAATATAACAAAAATCGCACGAACATGTTTCAAATGCCGTAATTTTTATATTATAAACCTGAAAAGGGCTTATAAAATAAGGAATTAATAAGAATAAATAATTTAATATAATGGAAAGACTTATTATCATAACGACACGATAATATGATACAACGCGATAAAACGTATATAATTGAATGTCAATGCTTCCACGCTTTTACACGATTGCTTGGAGAGCAATATAGTTTATCTTCCGCCCAGGAACTTTCAAAATAATCTCCGTACGCGTATAAGAATAATTTGCTGTTTACGCAACAACTGCGCACGACAAAGATAAAAAACATTTAGCTGAAACGGTTGATGTGAATAGATAGAAAGTCGGATGTAATGGTGCAGCGTGTGCAATCCCGTAATACTCATAAAACCTATTTACATAAAAAATGACAAGTGCACTTGAGCGCTGTATTGCCATCCGATCGCTTAATTGTTGTTAATTCTAGTCAGAAATCAACGAAACATATAGTTAAAAACGGGACATCCGATGATATTTGAGCACGTAAATATTAGATGATATAATAACGAGTAATTATCATGATGACGCGATCGGCACAATCGAATATATTCATTGTAACTACTTTCGAAATCAAATTAACGCGAAAGTACGTTTATTAGATTTTATCACGATTCGATAGGTATAAAAGAGCAACCGGTTCCTGGAAGAGAAACAATTCCTCATTTTGAGCAAGCATTGTTTACGCGTCTAATATTTTTACTAATAAACAGCTACCGAAAAATTCATACAGAGAAAATATTTATCAACGTATAAATTATTAAGTTGTTCCAAAAATAATAATAATCTTAACGAGATATTTGTTCTGGTTTTTTCAGAGAATTACGCAAATATCACCACTTTTCTCTCTTTCTCACTAAAGAATTCACTCAATCGTTAATATTTGTCTTGTCGAGTAAGCAAGCTAATGCTGATTTTATATAAGTCATTCTTATACTCAGGAAAGAGAATTATTTTTGTTGTAATAAAAGCGCTCAAAAGAAATTGATACTTTTTAAATAAAAAGTTAAATAAAAATGTAAATTATTATAGTAGCAATGCACCAATTTCAAAGAGAGAATATATATATCCAATAAATTCCTTTTTTATATGTGAAAATGATATATCTAGTTGAGATAAAAATAACGCTATTTTTTTCGCAAGTGTGCAAGTGTTTTGATCGAAAAAAATATACAGGGTGAAGCATAAATCGAGACGCCTTAATATAAAAAAATAAAACAAAATAGAAAGAAAAAATGGTAGGATTTGGAGAGAAACATATTTTAATGATCTTCATTTTGTTGTATTGTCAATAATTCAAGGTCATTTCAAGGTCAACTTCATTTTTTTTTAGTAGAATTATATATTATATTCTATTTAACCACTTGCACTACGATTTAACTTTCGATTGCCGTGCCGCGCTCTACAATATAACACGAACACGAATATAACACAAACTACAGGAATTTTCGTGTAAAAAAATCCGTACGACATACCATATCGATTCTGAAATATTTCCAATATATCGATGATATTTGAGCACGTAAATATTACGTGCTCAAATATATGACACTATGCGATGCCGTGCACTTCAGAACTGTAGCTCGCGTAATGACCGATCTAATTGTTAGCCGACGTGACATTGTTAGCGGACACGTTATTTTTGTTTCTGCGATAAATGCCTATCGAGGTGTTATACACGTCGCTGATGATTTTGGAACAAAAATATCTCGACGTACGTGACACGTCTTTATAGCGCAAGTGGTTAAAAGAATTAGTTTTTTTTAGTACAAATCGATTTCTCCGTTCATTCTGCATATAAAAATACTAAAGATAATCGAAAAGTGAATATTTTTCGAGATATTTTATTTTTTATTCTGACATTTTTCGATATATGAAATATGAAGTATTCATTTCTCGATAATATCACTTTAATACTTTTCTATATATTAATATGAGAAAAATTGATTATTGATATTTATCATTAATGCATTGACACATTTACAAAATGCAATGCATTATTTTTTAAAGTTTTTCTATATTTGCTCTCAGCGACGATTCCACCTGTCATTCTACGTACAAAAGTGTGCTTTTTCGAGAAAATTTCTTATTTTTCATCGCATGTCGATGTTTAGGACGGTTTTCTGCTTGAAGACTGGGAAATTAGATTTTAGAATGCAAAGTCCATATTGGGCCCAATGGAGGACAGGCTGGTCTCAGTCGGTCAAATTTCTCGAACAAAGACTGTGGAATAGCCAAACTAGGTGGAACCGGGGGCTGATCAAGTCCACGATAGTAAGATGAAGGATGTTCTGTTATTGAAGGCAAGGTTGTGGGATGATCCATCCATTCAAGATTAGGGAATGATCCAGCCGATGGAGACAAGATCGAGGCTATCCAGCCATTGAAGGCAAGGTTGTAGAATGAAGTATGGGTATAAGTCTTGGATACAACCTATAAAAAAATGAGGATCCCTGATTGAAAGGAACGACGTGTTACATAAGACATAACCTGGCTCCGAATAGATCCAACCTTGGCGTTGGGCCCAAAACTCGAATTTAACCCATTGAATAACGGAGAACAGTCTTGAATATGAATTTGCAATGGAGCTCCTCTGCTCAAGAAAAGTGACTTGTGTCTAAATGGTCTCAGTGTGGACCCAGAATCTTGGATCTAGAATCCAACTTTATCTCGCCGGAGAGTAGAGAATAGTCTTGAAAATGAATTTGGAGTCGAGTTCCAGGGATTTGTTCGAAAAAATTGACTAGAATTCGATTGAGGCTAGCATGGACCCCATTGAGCCTAACGTGGACTTTGTGCTCCAAAATCTAATTTGCCTCCTTTTAAGTAGAAAACCATCCTAGACATCGACACGCGACGAAAAGTAAGGAATTTTCTTGAAACAAATGATTTGGGTCTCATTGGGTCCAAAAGAGGCTTCGGACCCAAATATTAATCGGCTGTGTCGGATAAAAAATGTGTCCTGAACCTAAATCTGTGGTAAAACATACGTCTCTACTTGAAAAAAATCGACCTGAGCCTTACTGGGCCCAACCCAGAGCCCGAATGCAAAATCTAGTTGACCGGTCAAATAAGTCTTTCGATACTCCAAGTTCGATACTCAAAAACTTTTGTATTTAACATTTTCCTTCAAAATCTATTTCCTTCGAGATATTTTAGGGTCCCGATACTTTTTCCATTTCTTGTACAAACGCGTGATCTATGCAATAAATTTGCATATATAGCTAGACTTTCAAGGGCAATGTGTAAAAATATCAAGTTAATTAACGATGTTTCGCAGTAATATTATTTTACTAAGTGCTAATGTTCATATAACACAAATGTTCAAAAGACATCCTATAGAGTTGCTCCGCCCTAGAATGTCATTTGTGCTGTATGGGTGAATATATGTATACAATATGTAATATGTATACACGCACGCATACACGTACAAATAGTCCTTATTCTGAACTTTCTTTTGTCGATAAAAGTGCCTTAAATGTGGCTTCTAGCCACATTCTAGCCAATCAAGTGATTCCTAAACCACTTTTAAAGGCTTTTTTATTTATGAAAGAGAGTTAGAATATGGCCCTGCACACACACACACACACACACACACACACAAAGCAGCAGCAGCAGCAGCAGAGAGGGTTTGGAATCATTAAATATTACGGAAATAACGAACCGTGAAGTCCTATCTCTGCTGACACACATGCGCGCACACACACGTACAAAGAGGTGTAAATCTGACCGTGCAACTTGCACGCGATACACCTTGAGTAATACTAATGCCGGCAGTAGTATAACTTTCAAGTGCCATAAATGGAAAAGTTCTTACGAAAAGAAGGTTTGTAACCAATGTTTTGGAAATGTCTCAACGTCAGCTACAGCTATATGCTATGAAAAATAGGAGGTTCTATTAAAGATTTTTATATTGACCTTGATAACACTTCCCAAGGTTATTTCAAAATCAAATGTCGGTATTATCTGTCCTTCTTGATATCCTTGACTACTATTCTACAACTTTTGTATGAAATATTTTTCTCAAAAATGTGTATTTTTCGAAAAAAGACTCGAGTGAATTAAAATGGGACACTATGTGCACTGTGTGCACGCGCGCGCGCGCGTGTGTGTGTATGTGTGTGTGTACATATCATCGTGTACATATATTAGATTATCGCGTCAAAAGATACAACATTAACCTATATTGGAAATATAACTTTCGCAACTACTCTTTTATGATCAGCAACAAAAAGGTTGCAATATTTTTTTATCAATTTTGGAACGTTCGTTCCCGTATTTAATAGGAAAATTTAATTTTTAGTCATTCCTGAGAGACGTATTTTCCTATTGGATACAAGTTGCGAAACGCGTCGAAAAAAAATTGCAACCTTTTTTTCGCTAACCATACTTGTAATAAATATTTCGTTATCTTCGTTATATCAGCTTTTATAAAGATTCGCGTATTACTTATCATATTCTGTGCATTAATCCTTTACAGAAATTTAATACTGCTAATGATTGAGGAATGATTGAGGAATACAGTGAGGAATACAGATTTACAGTGATTAAATACTGGCAGTATTTCAGTAATTATTTGGCCAATACTTAATCATTGGTTAATATACGAGTATTTAAAAATACATACATAAGAAGACTATATATTTTTTTGTTGATATTAATAATAAAATAATAAAATAAAAAACAAAAAAATAAAAAGGAAAAACGAAAGAAAAATATAAACTCAGAGGCCAGTATTGAACCTGGGTCACTCTTAGTTAGCAGCCCGGCATCCTAGATCTTCTACTATCAGAACACTCGTTTGAGATATGTTCATTACTTTACATCCACTGTACTTGTTTCTCCATTACTTTCTCAATACTTAATCACTGCAAATTCAATAATTCTCAGTATTAAATTTCTGCAAGGGTATATTTTATCACTACTGCGCTCTTAAGCATTAGTATATAAATATTCATATCAATGATAAAGTAATATTTAATTACTGTAACCCTAAACATTGAAATATTTGGGATTACATTGTATAATTTAATCATTGCGAATTATTGATAACAGTGTTTTGCATATTCAAAATAACTAATCAATCATCAACTTAGCGGTAATAAATTTCTATAAGGGACGACAATATTACATTTCCTTTGTAAAAATTGTTTACAGACGATATACGATATACGAATGATTGAAAACATTTGAGTGACTTCTCATTTCACCAGACGTGATAGAGAAGAGGATAAATGAAACTAGGTGGATGGATGGATGCAACACCAAGTTGAATGGTGCTGAAGGATCGTTATCGTGAGTGCAAGACTCGTTCAGTTAACCGAGGAAACTGACCCAATTCTGGCTTACCCTTTTCTCGCTGCACATCGTGAATCCACCGTGGTCGCTCGTTTCGCTCCAGCCGGAAGACCGAGAGTGTATACGTCGGTGCGCCGGATACAGCGCTGACGAGAAGGGTGGTGCGTTCGCTCCTGCGAGCTTTTACCACCCCAGCGTACGTATATTTTGCGAAACCGGAAAAGAAGGAGGGCTATGAACGCACCGTTTCGCTCAATCGAGGCACCCTTTTTCGCAGAGGAGTTTCTTATCGCCACGTTCTGCGAATTATCGATTTGAGCGTGAAAAGTCGCACAGCTGGTCGGCACAGTTCCTCACAGTGTCCTCTTCAACGATCGATCAACCGATGTATTTGGTGGTTGCGACTCGGTCGGCCCAGTCGCTGCTGCTACGTTCCGCCGCTTCACGCACGGCCATCGTACACGCGTATTACGATGTTTCTCGTCTTACGCTCTCTGACGTGCGCCGAGCTGTTCCGCGCCCTCCTCGACCACCGCGACGCGTCACGACGCCGCGTTCTCTCCCGTCCGCTCAACCACCCACTACGCCCGGGGTGACCACCACACGCCGCCCTCGCAAGCCGAGCGTTATCGATACCGATTTCAATGTTACATCGTCACGTCGGACCGACAAAAGTCGGAATTACGACTGGTATTTTTTTAATCGATTCATCGACAGAACGACACGAATACGTGTGATTCGATTTATAAATGTCGAGTTTTTGCTCGACGGTCAGGGCGTGTACCCCCTTGGGGCGCGGACTCTCAAGTACAGCACACGAATGTGCTGGGTGCTATATACTTCTGGGTGCATTTGGGCGGGGAATGGATTCCTCACGAACTGTGTCTTCTCCGACCTTCGTACTAGCTTTGACACTCACGCAAAAATCAAAGCAAGAATTATGGGACCAAGATCATTCGGTTATTCTCCAGATTTTCTCTTGTATTTTATATAGGGAATTTGTTTAGGGAATAATTCAACTATTTCGATCGGAATCAACCTCGAAGTACGTGCCCGGAATCGTAGAATAACATCAGGCTAAAGTCTCAAACGTATCATACGGTTGGTCGCGCGCGTATTTCAGAGCAATCGCTCTACGTTGCACTAGCAACGTTTCTGCTTTTACATTATAGCTATGTTTCAACATTCACTGCCAGCGTGTTGAATAATCTATAATGCACGTAACATGAACTATACATTTTCAGTGCTGGCGGTGAGTTTTGAAACAGCCCATATAATTTAATATATATATGCATAATTAAAATTAATTTAAATATGCTATGCGTTTAGCGACTATAGTCGCTTGTTGCATCCCGTGGTCGTTTCATGACGAGCGACTATACTCATATAGCACAAATATTCAAGAAACATGTTAGAGATGTTCGGAATGTTCGAATATCACTGGGATGTCTCTATGTAGTATGAATGTTTATTAATGCTTAACAGCGCAGTGATGATGAGATATATTCTTACAGAAATTTAATATTGAGAATTACCGAAATTGCAGTGATTAAATATTGAGAAAGCAGTAGAAATACAGTAGAGGGCGAGTATACATCAAGCAAGTGACTGCTAACTAGATGAGACCAGATTTTATACTGCTCTGAATTCGTATTTTTTTCCTTTCTCTCTTCTTTTATTTTATTATTAATATCAGTTAAAAGAAAACACAATCTTCTTATATATATAATTTGAAATATATTAACCAATAATTAAGGATGACTTGCAGCAACTCCGATGAACTTAACCGACTAATTAACGGAATTGACCAATCGCATTGATCGGTTAAATTAATCGGAATTGGTGCGAGTCACCGCGAGTATTGGACAAATAATTACTGAAGTACCGTCAATATTTAATCACTGTAAGTTTCCTAGTAATTCTCAATATTAAATTTCTATATGGATTAATATTAATAATATTATAATTATTGTAATAATACACATAACAAATATTTGCAACGTTAATATCGCTCTCAAAAGGGAGATTTTCGAAAATATGTGAGAAATATGTGAGAAATATATGCAATAGCTGGAGTCCACTTGCAATAGCGCTTCAAAGCAATATAAAGTAGACCTAAACAATCGATATTTTTCACATGTTTTCAAGAATCAATGTTTAGAGTCCATGCGGTCTACAGCACGTTCACGCGCATCTTGCGTATAGAGCGCACTTGCTCGCGACTTGCTCTCCTTCCTCTCATCCCGGCGACCTTGATCGGTACATGGCATCACAGAACTATATAATATACTGGAAGGAGCACTGGTGGGGGCTTGTAAACAGGCCTATGAAACAAAGGCTGTATCTAAGTAGTATCTCGCTCTCTTTTTTACTAATATGCCGTATAGTCTATATAGACTCAGGTAAGATAATAGTACTTGGATATTATCTCTCGCAGCACGAGGTTATCCTACAGAAACAAAGTGCTTCTTCCAGTTCAATGTATAAGCCCGTATTCTGAATGCGCTTAAAACGATATTAGCGCGCTAAATCAACTTATTGGTAATTCCGAATGGATATTTTGCTATGAAAACGTATAATTATCGATTTTCTCTAACAGAGCGTCGTTATTATCGTGTTTACAACACAAACGATACTGAGAATACTCATGTTAGCGCGCTAACATCGCGCGTTCTAAATACGGGCCGATACATCTACCGAATGTTGAGGAGGGCACGTAGAAAAGGGTGCACTCTGCTTTGTGTCCCTTGCGTTCTCTCTCGTTACAATATAGACTATGATTGCGTTCAGCGAACACAACGGTTGAGTAATTCGCCAACGTGATTGGTTTGAATTTAGGGATCTGACAGAAAAGACCAATAATCAATGACTGCTTACCGATTGCTTTTTCCGCTGAACGCAATCTATAACTCTACAGTCACTTACAGAAATTTACTACCGCTAAGCTGTAATTCCAAATATTCCAATGTTTAGAGTTGCAGCGATTAAATACTACAATGATTAATATTACCTTATCATTAATATGAATACTTAAATATTAATGTTTAATGGCGCAGTAGTGATGAGATATACCTTTATAGAAATTTGATTCTGAGAATTACTGAATTTGCAATAATTAAATATTGAGAAAGCAAGGGAAGTACAGTAGATAGTGAACATACATGAAACAAGTGTTCCGGTAGCAGAAGATCTAGGACCTACCTATACAGCACCGAAATTTTCCAGAGATATTTCAGAAATATTTCATGTGAAAAAATGGAACATCTCAGAAATGTTTCAAAATGTTTCTGAGGCAGCTCTGAGACGGCTCAGGTATAGCAAAATGTCCGCGATTCTTGCACTTGGAGCTGAAGATGTGCTGAAAGGTTACCGAAATATATTTGAAACCTTTTTAAATGTTTGTCGAAAAGTTACTGAAATAATTACTTATAAGCATAGTTATTTATTATACGAATTATGCATTAATATTATTTACATATTTCAGTATTGCATATTATGGAAAATATAACAGTCAAATAAAATTATTAAAAAAAAATTTAATAACATTTGTACAATAAAAAAAATATAACTACAATATAAAAAAATTAATAATTATTAACAAATTTTGAAAACATTGTTAAATAAAGGAGAGATAAGTCCTCTGACCGCTTATCAATAACCGTGAAAGTTGTTTCACATTTTGTATGCTTTTTTGCATCTTTGCATGGAATCGATCTCAAACGGCGATCATGCCGGTCATCCATCCACTTTTAGTATACGATCGCCGTTATATAACTTCGATGATCTGAGAGCAAGTAGTGGATCCAACAGCTGTGACGATATCTTTATGACTCATGCTTATATAATGCATACTTATATGATTCATTATATATATTTTTTATATTAATCAAAGTGTTTCTATAAAAAATATTTAAAATAATCGCATGCAAGAAACGAAAAATCATAAAATTTATTGCATGCGAAGGATTTCAGAAATAGTTCAGCTGATAATTTTCAAATTTATCATATGTGAAAGGTTTTTGAAAGAGCTCAATTGAAAGATTTGCAAAATTATTTCATATAAAACGTTTCTAAGATAACTGAAAGTATTTAAATTTATTGCATGTGAAACATTACAAAAACAGCTCAACTAAAATGTTTGCAAAATCATTTTATGTGAAACGTTTCAGAAATAACACAATCGAAAGTTTTGGAAAATTGTCTTCGTGAAAGGTTTCAGAAACATTCCTGTCGCAACATTTCAAATGACATATTGCAGAATTCTTTCAGAAATGTTGCACATGAAATGTGAAAGGTTGGGATAATTTTGAAACATTTCTGAAAGTTTTCTGCAATAATCGGTGCTGTATGGGAATGGACGCATAATATTTTACATAAGGAATTAGAGAACATGAGAAAGCTAAGCGCGCGTTGGATGCCGCACAATAAACAACGCATCGGCCCACAAATCAGCGATGACGAAATTATATAAATTGAAATACGAATTAATTACACATCCACCGTACTCTCCAGATTTGGCCCGTCCGACTTTTTTCTGTTTCCAAATTTAAAAAAATGACTGGGAAGAAATTTTCGTCGGATGCTGAAGTGATAAGTGCCGTTAATAACTATTTTTCGAGTTTAGACAAAAGTTATTATATTGAAGGCATGAAAGGTCTAGAAAAACGTTGGACCAAATGTATTGAATTGAAGGGAGATGAGATGTTGAGAAATAAATTTCATTTAAATAAAAAAAATGTTTTTTTCTTAGTCAGGTCGGAAACTTTTCAATCTATCCTCGNACACACACACACACACACACACACACACACACACACACACAAACAAACACAGAGTGAGGAATTTAATTTGAGACATCTAAATATTTCGAGAAATATTTGCTTTCGAAAAAAATGCTCTGGATCAAATTTTTTTATTTCGAAGGAGGCAGCAAGATAGCGCTATCTGTCACTTTATCATAGATGACGTTATTGTCGGTGAAAACGAGATCAACTGTTTTTTTAAACGGGAAACCCTAATTTTTATTGAATATTATGATCTTACGCTAAAATCAAAGTATCGGCACTTCAACGGGAAGTCTTATCACATGCCGCGTATTCACCAGACTATATTCCTTCAGATTATATCATTTATTTCAATCAATGCAGTACAGCTTTACTGACTTCCGAAACAGATGAAGAACTAAAAAAATTGATCGATGAATGGATTGCTTCGAAGAACGAACATTTTTTTCCCGCGAAATTCACTTATCACCGGAAAAGTGAGGGAAAAGTTATAGCTAGCGATGGAAAACATTCTGAATAAAATATAATTTAACGTCTCTCTAAAATAAACGTATATTTTTTTTTGCAAAAAGTCCCTCAAAATTAATCGGGACACTTAATATTACTAAAGATGTAATTTTCTATTTTCACTGGGAGTGATATTTCATATGTATATATATATATATATATATGATATATTCACAACAGTGTGTAAAGAGAGAAGAATAATGCTTGCATGTTGAACGGAACATACGTCTGTATATGGTTCTCGTCCACGGAAATTGTGGACGTAGCACGGACGTATATCAAATGGAAACATTTATCAGCAGTGCCAGAAAGTAGATGTAACGAACTAGTTCCGATGTCAAAAGTGGATACGTATCAAAAAGTCGCGTAAAACAATATCAAAGAAAATGCTGCTGGCGTGGCCGCTTTCAGGTTTCTCTATGGCGATACATATTACAGCCCTGTATTGAACGGCAGGTTACATCCAACCCAGCATTGATGTCAAATATAGCGAAATATAGGATGGTGCGATTCATCAGATCTATGACGTTTGTTAAGCTTCAGTTAATTCTAGTGATAAAATGCTTCGCACTAATTTGTTGCTTTGTTACATGTAAGAACAATTACTTAATTAGGAGATAGTTTTACGGCATAAGGTAGGAAAATCAATTTGAATAATTCCGACTAGTTTATCTACAGATATTTCATTAATATTTTATTAGAGCTAGAAAGAAACGGAACCCCTATAATAGGACTTATCTCATGTATATATAAATATATCTTGTTTTTATAAGGAATTTTTAAGATATTTATATATACACATGTATAACTAGCTTATCTGGGGTCTTGCTTGAACTTTACAGAATAACCACCGCTGTTAGGATCCTGCTGTAGTTCAAAGTTGTTTGTGGAGAGACCGAAAGGCTTCAATACCATGTTTCCTAAGTCCTTAAGTTTACTTAACATTTCTGTCTTTAATTTCTCGTTCCTTTCATTAATTAATGGTGGCAATCTCTGAAAAAGATATTTTAATATAGGATATATTACAATATTATTAGAAGGTTATAATTGATACACCATAAATAGTCGTACTTCAGATCTATCTATTTTAAAATGATAATTATGCGTTACCCTGATTGCATGGTTAGCTTCTGTGTGGCTGGGATCGAAGGTTAATACTTTTTTGAAATCGTCCAATGCTTCATCTAACTTATCCGTCTCCTCGTATAACTGTGCTCTTCTTATGTAAGCCTTTACGTAACTCGAGTTCAACTCAATGGCTTTTGTACAATCAGATATCGCCGAGTCTTTTTCAGTCTGAAATGAATTTCTTGTTAATATAACAACCATAAATTATAAATTCTCAGAGAAGAAACATACTTTCAATAATTACCTGACATTTTGTCTTAGCTGCTGCTCTATTAGCATATAATATAGATCTTTCTTTATCATATGCTAAAGGACAAGTTTGCAATCCTTGCGTGTATATCGATATTGCCTGTGCGTATTCACCATCTTTGTAGAGAACGTTGCCTTCATTTTTCAATTTTTCTGCCTTATCTTTTAATGTCTATGACAAAAAATATAGCATTATGACATGCATAACAATACATAAATATTTCAATAATGCATACCACTTTCTCAGCTTCCGTGAGATCTACTTCTCTGTCCTTAAGGAGTTCTTCGTCTATGTCTTCCAAGAAGTCTGTGCTTTGCGCATTGTTACTATTATTACCGTTATGTTCCTTATTAATAACATCCCACGAATCGCTAGTTACATTACTATTATTTGTGTCCGCGTCTGAAGTAAAATTTTGCACCGAATTTTTATCCGCTTCGATACAAGAACTTTCTAGATCTCTGGTGAGCTCTTCTATAACTTCCTCGTTCGACTGAAGTTTCTGCGATTGTTCTTCCGTATCATCCATCATTCAATTTGATGTAATTGACATCAGTAACATTACTGGGTTGTCCTGTGTATCAGGATACAGCAAAATTGTCTTTCTTTTCTCACGGATGTTCCCTAATGTACCAGTTTCACGCCTGTTTGTTTTAGCTGAACTAGTATTTCACTAGAATTTTGTTCCTTTTCCCTTCAACGTTAGGTTAAATACGCTTGTTTCATTCTAAAGACAAAGAGTATAATCTAAATCGACTGACAAACCTTTAAAAACACGGTAATATACTTTTCGCAATAAAACCGATACAGAATTAAATTTCAATGTTGAATCGAAAACTTACAATTCACCTGACGTTTCCCTGTGCTGTTCTTCACTGTCCTGTACTATTCCAAATCGATGGTAGAGCGCGTGTCATCCAATTTCTAAGTGTCGGTCTACAATAGAGTTTTAAGCCTTAAGAAATTGACCCATCACAGTTAATAATTCTCTCCACTCTCGACTGTGATTGGTCTATTCTTTAAGGCTTAAAATACCTATTGTAGACTAGGACTAACGCTATCATTAAGCCCGTATCAGACTATGGATTGGGGATTGTGATTGAACTAAATTTGGCCAATCAGTGCAAAGTTAACTGAATTCAAATTTAGTAAAATTTAGTGAACTTTGCACCGATTGGTCAAATTTCAATTCTCTTTCAATTTCTGATCCGTAGTCTGATACGAGCTCAAACTACCTCGGAAGGAATAGCGTTTGTAGCGCGCAGTTATGACGTGCGCTACCACTAGTGACGTCATGATTGCCTTTGTTAGCACCATCTTCCGCGAACAGCCTTTTGCGCTAAATAACGCTAGTAGCGTTTTTCCATAAGTGAGCGCTTGGAGCGTCCAAAGAGAACGTATCCTTTAACTTATTGCACTAGTTCGGCAATGAAGCTAAAAAGAACGGACCAAATGACAAACCAGTATCGTCAGGTTATATTGTGACAAGCGTAACTTTAAGTTGCATTCCGTTTCATTTCCAGTTCACGAAGTACATGGACTTAATGCGGCGTGTGGAATATTTTCCCTTAGAAAGTGCAAAGAGAGACTGCCTGATTAAGAGAAGATAGAATTAACAGAGTTTGTGCGTGGCGAATAATACAATTGTACAGGTTATGTTGTCACATCGGTCACGGTTGACCGACAGTTTGGGAAATTCATGACATGCGGTATATGTTCTCGACGAGAATGGAAAAGCCGAATCCCAAGGAGACCATCAATTTGCTCAACCTGCTGTCGGAAAGCGATTCTGACAGTACCGACTTGATTCTAACGCCTAAAAAGAAGAAAGTCAAACGGTACTGCTTGTTTGTACAATAATTTGAATATATTGCACGTAAATAACATATAATAAGATTTCTTGATAGATTTTGTGTGCAATTTAAACAATCTTCCTGTGCAATTTGTATCTTAACGTTTTCTATATATTTTCATATAGAAAATTGTAACATTAATTTCTGTTTCTTTAAAGACGGCATAGACCAAGAACTTTGACCAGAACGAGACACGATAATTTCTGCGGATGCAACAAGTCAGATATTCGAGTCATATCTTTGTGGTTGGCAGCTGTACTTATTACATTCTGGTTAATTGCTTTGTCCTGGCTAGCGGCGATACTGTATGCGGAGATTAAGAAAATGGATATATCAATAAAATCAGGTAAATGTTACTTTAATTTGTAATGCAAGCGCAATATATGTGTTTAAGTAGATATTAATTGAACTGTTAATATTAGAGTATGAAAGGTTCTAATTAAATCCACTTGTGTTTAATATAAATACATTACATTTCGTCTTACTTTTTGATATATCCCTTTTTTCCGAAGCTTTCTTTATTATTTTTACACACATATATATACTCAGATAGCCAGACCTATGCTAACAGATTTCGAGCAGAGCTTGTGACATATTTCCAATGGCAGAAAGGTGACAAATCTAACATAGGATCTGTTCCTGTTCTATCATATCATGTTGCCAAACGGTTGCCAGAAATGCGGCGGAGCCTGTTGACAGGTAATTCGAGCAGATCTTGCTGTATAGTTTCGCAGCAGACTCTGTATAATTTCAATCTGCTCGGATCGCCCATCAGCAGACTCGGTCACTGAGTTGAATGTGGACTACAGACGGCTGCGGTTTTGGTGCGGGATTCTGATCAAATTCGCTACTAATCCGCATCCAGTCTGCGATCAATTTGCTCACTGGATGTATTAACTATTATTTGCCGCAGCGAAATTAGCATATTTTGTATTGAAACATTTAAACGAAAGAAAAAGATTTAAACATTAAACGAGGAAAAGTTAACATCTATCTTTTTTCGCTGGAAATTCAGTGTATATGTCCATTTAAAGAAGAAAAAGCTCATCATATGTCCCAATTTAATTACTTAAAATACATTGTGTGAAATTAAAATAGAAACTATGTGATAATTGTACTTTTAAATATTGCATATAAGATATTTCACTGCTGCTCGTATCATCGAATAATACACTTCCCTTTCAAAGTTCGGAACGTATGAAATATATAAGATGCTCGTTAATGAGATTAACCACAAACCCCTCGGGTCTTAATTCTCGAAAATATGTGAAAAATATCGCATACGATAATTTGGGCAATTCACAATGTTCTGCACGGCGTTTCCTTGCAGCCTGAAACGGATCTTAATTGTATGCGATATTTTTCAGAAATATTTTCGAGAATCTGATCGTACAGCTCCGGTAAGCTTATCAAATCTGCGTAACGTCGCGACACGGCGGTCATTTGAAATTCCCTATGTGTCGCGCGCGTTCTTATCAGAGAAACCCCCCAGCGGTGCTCAGTCGTTTACCAACCCTCGGCCAGTCGATATCAGACGGCGGCGCAGCTGGTCAAGTGTCGCGATACGTGGACGATTTTCGTCGAATTCGGGATTTCGTGTGTGATTGAGACGTCTGTGTGTGCGCCGGATCGCGAATATCGTCGTCTCCGCCTTTTTAGGCCGACGGGATTCTTTCGTCGGGAAAGCGAAACGCCGTCGTGCTGCCGTCCGTTTCGTCGCGGTGTAGTAATCGATTAGAATCGCTTCTATAATTCATCCCCCTCGTAGGTCAAGTTCTGCATGTACGTTTCTTCCTCCTCCTCTCGTTCTCCTCCCTTCTTCGTCATTCTGACCGGGTTGCAATGCGGGACATCGTGTTCTCGCTGCGCGTATGAATGCCGGGGGGAATTCCGAATACCCTGGAGAAAGAGGAACAAAAGAAGAAATGAATGTGAACAAGATCAGTGTTGAATAACGATTCGTCAGATAACGGAGGATATTTCGATAATTAATAAGATATTTCCGACAATTACACACACAAGTCCATATTCTAAACTCACTTTTGCCGATAAAAGTGCCTCAGATGTGGCCGTTCTCAGCCAATCAGGTCCTACCACTTTTAGAGATACTTTTATCGATAAGAACGAGTCTGAAATATGGATCGTGGATTTTCACATTTGCGAGAAATTCGAACCGGATTTTTATGATTTGCGTTCAATGTCGCGTTCAATGTCAGCGCGAGACGATCGAATTGAATGCGCGACGAGAATGTGAAAATTCGCGCGCCGCTCTCTTCTCCATTTTTAATCCGCACGATAAGGAACAGCTCTCTCTTTCTCTTTCTCTCTCTCTGAGCTGATACGAGAGAGAACAGTGGCGAATAGCGAGGTTATATCGTCGCAAACTACCTACACACGAGAGTTATCGTACGAGGACGTGACTGTACCGTTCTGACCGCGAATACAATAAATATTTTAATACTGCGTCCTCGCGTATACGTTAGAATTTTCAATTTGACATATCGTCGATACTCGTCTCGCTCCGTCGCGACTCCTATTAGCGTTTCTCATTGCTCCGAATTTAGCGAATATGACGTATTGTTCCGATATATCGGGAATGTGGAAATACAATATTCATTTGATATCGAGGCTTCGGTGGTGCGGGGGAAAAATGCTGAATTTAGGCTCGCCGGTTGGAATTGCACTCTTTTTCCGTAGATTCGCTCCCAACTTTTCACGAGTATTTCAGTTCATTTTAGGGGAGCAATCTGATGGTGACATTAATGATGGATTGTCGGATGAATTTCGAATCGATCTTCCTCCGTCCGGATAAGTGTGTTAAAAATATCCAGCTTCGATGACTTTGACCTTGACGTATGTTGTCAAGGACATCCTTCTGAATAATCTTTCGAAGGTTTTAGATTGTGGTTTTTTGTTTGTTAAAAAGCTAAAAAAAGATGTTTATATAAAAAATCCTCAATACTTATATCCTATTCTTACCGATATAGGTTGTTACACCAGTTTCGCCCCTCACCTTTAGTAAAATTAATTCAACCCTATCTTTTTGTTTTTTTGTATGTGTACCGTCACGTGAACGATGAAAAAGCGGAACGAAAAAGATATAGTGAGGGGGTGATCAGTATATTCATATTAATCTGATTTCCCACAGGAAAACCGGAAATCTGTCAAAATAGAGTCAAATTTTCTTGATTTTAGCCACAATAAGAATAATCCCATAAGAAAAATGTAACTATAACAAATTCTGAATTTGTACGATTTGAACGCAGTTATAAGAAATTTATAAAAGTTATTGTAAGTTTGAAGTTAGAATTTCCCATCTATTCCCTATCTTTTTCCATAAAATGTGCTCCATGAGGAATGGAGCCGTTTGAGATCGGAACGGATTAATATGATTATGATTTCGATCGGCCACTTCCCCACTACGTCTTTTTCGTTTCGCTCATTGTCCATGTGACGGCATCCTAAAAGGCATTTTATAATATTTCATCGCCAGTCGTGAAGAATGGCAACTACTATTACTTATTTATCGAGGAATTACAAATACATAGAAAATGGTAATACTTTTACTCATTTGTTACATTATCTATTGAATACGTAATTCGATCCTATTAGATGGTATTAGATGGATTAAAACTGATTTAACTAAAACTCTGCAAACACTACAACTGTTTACGGAGAAAGGGCTTAGTTCTCCGATAAAACTAACCTAACATTATCCATTCGTTACATAAATAATTTAACGAGCGTTATATATTTGAAAACACTACTAGATTATTCTTTCTCTCTCTATTTCAAGTCTTCTTACACAGAGAAATGAAAAAGTAGGATTAGGTTAGTTTTACTAGAGGGGTCTTCCCCGCAAACACTACGCTGAAAACAAGTATTTATTAAAACCAAACAGATTTCATTAGATTTAAGAAAATGATTTATTTGAATACTCGTAACTAAATAATTATTTTATTAAAATTAATATATTTTATTGAATAAAAAACATGTTTCTTAGTTCCAAAAAAATATTTGTTTAGATTGAAAAAATGTTTATTTGAAGAAATAAATTTTCAAGTAGAAAAAAGGAGATATCAAGAAGAAGAAATATTTTTTTAATATGAAGAAAATATTTCTTTAACTACTAGCTACTTTAACTACTAATCTTTTAAAGTCAAGTTTAAGTTCCTATTTATATTATATTTTTGTTTTTTTTCTTTAGAAGTGAATGCAAATGGGACTTTAATTCTTTCACGTGCTGCTTAGTACAATTTAAATTGTATTTTTGAAAATTTACTTACCAAAATTTACTGCCCACATTCGAACCTGAGACCTCTGGCTCTTGCATCGTTTACCTATTGCATTATTATTGTTTTGACTGACAAATGTTTTATATTGTATATTCATGTACGAAAACAAAGAAATGATTTCTTGAGAAAAAGAAAATGGATATTTTTAATGTAAAAAATTTGTTTAAAAAAATATTTATTTTAGAAGGAAGCAAAATATTATACAAATAAATCGTTTTGTAAATCTAAATAAATTATTTTTCAATAGTAAAAGAAACTTTTTATTTAAAACAAAAAGGATTCTTTTAATACCAGAAAATGATTCATTTAAATTTACAGAATGATTTATTTGCATTTGCTTGCTTTTAAGTCAAGCAAATATTTACTTAAACATAATTTTTACATTTTAAAAATCCATTTTTTTCTTATAAAGAAATCATATGCTTTCTCTTTTATAACAGTATTTGAAATCGAAGAAATTATATTTTTAATCTAGAAACTCATGATTTTACAAATCATTTTACAAATTTAAAAAAATAATATTTTACATTTAGGTATTTTTTCTTAAATCTAATAAATATTTATCAAAATTTAAAAAAATATATATTTAATAAAATATATTTCTTTTATTTGAAGAATTATTTTTCTTAGTGTAATAACATTCTATCTATGAGCAACGACTAAAACTTTTTGAACGTTACTCAGACCTCCTTGATAACATACGTCAAGATTATAAAGTCATTGAAGCTGGGTCGATATTTACCAATATTTTTCTTCGAAATAATCAGGTATTTTTTGTAGCAAGCAACGCGGGAAGTAAAATTTTGATTATGTGTGACGCGGAATACTAAGTATTAATTAATTAATAAGATCACAATGAGCCGTCATGCACATGAAATTTTTGCACTTGTCGATTCAGAAGCGCACATTCTAAACAGCGACTGGCTTGATTGACGTGGTATCGTTAGAGTGATTGCTAATGTTACGAACACTTGCGTCTGTTGATGCTCGTTCCTTTCGTTGTCATTGCGCGTTATTGTATTGTCGCAAGACATTCATCTTTCGAGAGACATGTGACTCGCGCTGAGAATTGAAAAATATTGTGACTCTATGGAAGATCTGTCGAGATAACAGTTACGCCATTTATTAATTAGAGATTGGGGGAAGAAAAGTCAGCCGTCGTGGTCGATTATCCAGCATCGATATTACAATAATCATGCCACTTATCGTTACACGATGGAATTGCATTTGTTTGGACATCGATTCGCGTGAGTTATTACAAGAAAGAGAACTATATGACTACATATACAGGGTGTGTCAGCTAAATTGGGACTAATTTAAATTTGAATTTCTCGCTAACTTTTACTTTCCGGGTAAACGTTAGCTGGCGTTAGAGTAGTGCACACGCAGTCGTGAAATAAAAATGGCCGAGTCAACACAAACAAGTTCGGAGATTAACCGAAGAATTGCGATTGTCGAAAGTCTTCGCGCTGGGCGTACGCCAGAGATTATGAGGTTTTTCGGTTATCCGAAATCGACTGTTTACCGGGTGGCTCAGAAGTTTTCGGCTTATAAGCAATCCGAGGAACGTTCCTGTGATCCGGTAAGGAAGAAACATTCACGTGAAAGGATGTCAAGGACCCCTGAGATATTGGAAAAAGTCCAGGATTTGATTTCAAAGGGATATTTCCTGGGATATCGCTGCGAAAATTGGCTTCGATCTTGGATGTGGGTAATACCATCATATGAAGAATTGCTGAGGAGGACCTGAGATCTTACGTCATTAAAATGCGACAAATGCTTTCGGAAGACGCCAAGATCAAGAGAGTTGCCTGCTGCCGCTTGTTGCTGTGCTCGTTCAAGAACAAAGCATCTGATTTTTTTCAGACTAAAAGATCTTCACTGTGGTGGATGTCAAGGTGAATCGTAGGAACGACTGTTGGCTTGCCCGAGACCCCGAGGATGTCCCTGTTGTAGCCAAGACAAAGTTTCCAGCGAACGTCCACGTGCTCGGCGTCGTCTCCAGTGATAGTAACGTCATGTCGCCTTATTTCTTTGAAAAAGAAACGTTTCTTTGAAACGGTCACGAAAGAGGAGTACATGCAGGTTTTATCGACGGTAGTAAAGCCCTGGATGGAGAATATAGTCTCAGAAAGGCCGTACAAGTGCGGCGCACCCGCTTACACGAGCCACTTGGTTCAAAACTGGCTCTCTGACAACGCCGATATGGTTTGGTCAAAAGCGTTTTAGCCCCCAAATATTCCAGACCCATTGGACTACTACGTTTGGAGCGTTGTTGAGAGAGTCAGTAATAAGTCGAGACACCTTAATATGGCATCTTTACGGACCACGATTTAACAGGCATTCGCAGACATAAACCGAGATCAAATGCAGAGAGCATGTTCTCGCCTCAGCCGAGGATTGAAGCGGTGATCGAAGCTGGAGGTGGTTATATAGAGTGAAAATTTATAGAAAGTGTTCCATAAACGAAATATGCAAACCATTTCTTGTAAGTTTCATTTATTATTTAATAAACGACTTTTACAGTAAAACGTAACTTTAATCCCAATTTAGCTGGCGTATCCTGTACAGCTTATGTAACTTCTATAAATACCCGAACCAAGTTATTTTTCACCCTCAGATATCATTCATAGCGTTTTTAATATGAAAACAGTGGTAACTGAAATTCTTATTTTTCTTTGACGTAAGAATCCTACTCGCTCTGACTACCCTTGTTTGATAACGTCAAAAACAAGAGAACGCATACTAAGCTTTTTGCGTTATACGAGAGTAGATTGAAAAGTTTCCGACCTGACCAAGAAAGAGCAAGAATTCAGTGAAATTTCAATACTTGTTCAATAGATGATACCGAAAGAAACACAAAGAGCTAAGTTTGATATCATTCTAGCGATTAGTTTGTTTCCTTACAGCCTTTTGTATGACAGTTTTTCAACAATGGAGACATTGGAGTATCGCGTCGTGATAAAATTCTTTCATTTGAGTGGGAAAAAACTCTTACGAAAATTAAAGCTGAATTAAATTCAGTGTATAGAGATGCTGCTCCTTCATTTACCACTGTGAAAACCTGGGTTGCTGAGTTGAAACGTGGCAGAAGGAACGTTTTCGACGAAGAACTCTCTGGACGACCGCAGCAATGGATGAAATGATCGATTATGTTCACCGAATCGTGATGGACGATTGTCGGTTAACCTTGAGAGAGATAGCAGAGGCTGCTGGTACGAACGGACGCACAACATTTTACACGAGGAATTAGATATGAGAAAGCTGAGCGCGCGTTGGGTGTTGCATTTGCTCACTGTTGATCGAAAACGAGATCGGTTGGACATTTCACGATCGTGTCTTGAGCGTTTCAAGCGCGCTGAAAGGGATTTTTTACAGCGTTTTATTACTGTGGACGAAACTTGGGCCCGCCACTACACTCCGGAGACAAAAGAACAGTCGAAGCAGTGAACTGCAAAGGACGAACCGCCTCCGAAAAAGGCGAAAGCAGTTCTGTCGGCTAGCAAGGTGATAGCCACAGTTTTCTGCGATTCCTATGGGATAATTTTTGTGGACTAACTGGAAAAGGATAAAACAATCACCGGAGAATATTATGCTGGGTTATTACAACGTTTGGACATGGAAATCAAGAACGAACGTCCGCATTTGGCCAAAGAGAAAATCTCCTTTCATCAGGACAATGCACCCGCCCACATATCAGCGTTTATAATGACGAAATTATACAAACTGAAGTACGAATTAATTATACATCCACCGTATTCTCCAGATTTGGTCTCGTTCGACTTTTTCCTCTTTCCAAATTTAAATCAAAGTTACAGGACGTTAAATGCAAGGGCACCGAATTAATTTGCACACCTACTATAAGCATTAGTTTACGCAACATTAATTTACCTTTATCCTATTAAGTATTTTATCTAGGATTGTCTTTAAGGTAAAAATTCGATTTACTTTGTAGATGTAAATCAATCTATTATTTTAGATCTTGGCAACATACTACAGAGATACATATTAATTACACCACTACCAAATTAAGTGAAGGCTTTTGCAAGTAAGAAAATTTTAGTCGTAACCATAAATCCGGAGAAAATTAATCAGTCACGGTCGATTATTTTTTTTGCGATCGAAGAATAATCAACTGTGATTGGTCCATTTTTTATAGAATTATTCAACCACATATTTTGTTCCACTACTTTTCGCCATCTTTGAGACAGCTTCATGATTCCATCTTCCCGGAACTTACCGTCTTTCTAGTCCAGATGGTTTTTGTACAGGTTGCAGGGAATTGAAGTTCTTCCCATTAAGAGAATTTTGTAGGGACTCGGAATAAGTGGTAATCCGAAGGTAAAAGGTCAGATGAATACAGCTAGTGAGATAGGACATCCCAGTCAAGTTACGCCAATTTCTGTGGGTCTGCAAAGAGATACGAGGTCCGTCGTTGTCCCGATGGATATTTTTCGATTGGCCGGACGTTTTTCATCGATTGTTGCCTTCAGACGGTCCAATTGGGAATAATACTTGTCCGAATTCAATGTACGGAAGAAGCTCACGATGTCCTTCCAGTCCCATCATACACAGCATCACCCTCTTCGGATGCAGACCGGCTTTTGGAACGGTGGCTCATTTCGTTTTCCCCTTTTCTCTCAACATTGTTGTAAATGATTCATTTTTCGTCGCCCTTAATCGTTCGTTTAAAAAAATGAGTTGTTTTCATTTGAGCAGAGAATCGCTAATGGAAATGCGGTCTATGAAATTTGTTCCCATTAAATTATGAGCCACCCAAATACCGTAGCGATTTACTTATCCGAGTGCCTCACAATGTTCATACGAGATATGTGAAGTATTTCTGCGATGTCTCGTGTCGTGTGGATTACTTTCAATTAGCGTTACGATTTGGTCATCATCAATGGCTGTCGGAACGTTCTCGCAACGTCTTCCAGATCAAAATTGCCACTTCTGAACCAAGCGAACAGAACAGTACGACAATACTCTCAGCTGCGGCACATATCTTTTTTTTCCTTTGTACACTGTTTCTTCTCTCGGAAAATAAAGATAAAAGAGCATTGAATAACGAGAATGTATTTTATTTTCTTCCATTTTTAATGTAAACACATTTAAAATTCACAACAATCCAAAGCATCCAATCGCAGAGTAGGAAATATCAGAATATATACATGTGATATGTTTCAAAGCCATGTGTAAAACGAATTCACGCGTGTTCGAACGCCACTTATTGAAAAACGCTACGAACTTTTGTCCCAGTTCAGTATATTCCAGTATATTCCGGACAGTTTCACGAAAATAAGAACTCTTGAAGAAAAGAAAAGCTTCGGAAGGATTTCGTCGATGATTGCTCTTATTGGTCCAACTTTTCGTCTTTCCCCCTTGAGCAATTTCGACACGGTTGTTTCTCTCACTTTAGAAACGTGATAGCTGTGCATCGGCCCACCGGTCACAAAGGTGTACCGTCTCGTTACGCCCGTTCGTCACGTGTGTTCAATTCAGTGGAGTGATAATCGCGCGTGCGGCTGTAGACGTCTGTGTGAACTTATACACATGTATAAGCTCCGCAAACACTCGAATGTTTTCACCTGTAGATACCAGCGAGCTGATAAGAGGCGCCTCAGTGAGGAATACGTCAATGCGATGTTTCGTACCTGAAACTGTCGCTTTTTCATCGCGACAAACGTGCGTTCGGTTTCCAGGGATTCGTTTGATTTGATGAGAATCAAGAGATCGGGCTGATTTTGTGTTGTGATCTCGGTGAGTTGAAATTCTCGCAGGTCGAAAACATGATGCGAAAATGATCCGTGTGCGCTCGACAGTCGCGGCGACGATCAGCGTATGAAGTACTTTTCGAGATAACCGTTGTTCTTGAAACATTAACTCACCAATGTTGCGCTCTTTGTGGAAAAATAAGTTTTCGATGGTTCTGACATAGCGAACACACGCGAATAATTTGTTAATGAGAAGGATACTCCTCGCAACGAATAAAAGAAAACACGATCGAAGTGCGAGGTATATTTTATCGTATAGTTGCGAAATTAACCTCATTAAAACTGCAGACGGTGTCGGTCCCTATTTCGAACCGGTTTCGCTCTCGTTTTTTCGACATTTTTAAGACACGAAAGCGTCCGTCTGTTGCAGTTCGGATATTCCTCGCTACGTGTATTGTCCGTCGCATTGATATCATCTCGTCGACCTAATTGGACGATTCGAGAGTTTGAATCCTCAAATTGCTCAAATTGAATTAACAGTGTCTCGAATCGAATGTTTGTAAACGAGATGGAAAGTAGCAGCGGAGTTAGTGAGAAAATTCATTAAAATTCGATCGATCGGGTCGCTCGATCCTCTCGGATTCGCTTACTATACGTGTAACACCACACGAAACTTGATTTTTTATTCGAGTATTCTTATCGGGGGAATTTGCATAAGCCGATACGTCTTATCATTTCTACTGTTTTCTTAACGACGCTTCTTATGTTGGTCGTTCTTGACCCACTGTCTAAAACCGCGACTTCTGCCGAATGAGCGGTGTTTTATCTAAACTCCTCGTCTCGATGGGTTTCAGTCGCGAACGGTCTTGTTGTTTCTTCGGTGAAGTGAAAGCTGAATCCTGCGATGAGCAACGATATTTGGCGGTATTGCATTCGCCGAATTGATTAAACCGCTGACGAAAACGACGAGCAGTTTTCAAGAGACGGAAGGTACATTGAACGAAGATAGAACGCGAAGCGTTTCGGAGCTGATCGACACAATTCCGCGGAAGAGCCAACTACTGGACGATAGAAATGCTCGGGCGCAATCGGAAGACGATCTTCGAGACTTGCGGTGGTCGCGCGGTGTTCAGGAGTTGAAGTGAAGGAGAATCACCTTACTCGGATCGACCGTGCACTTGAGTGCTGGGCAGATTCCGAAAGATAGGCGGTTCGGTCTTACTTGAGATGGACTCGGTGGCGGTGACAGTACCGCTTCGTCAGCCGACGAAAAAGATGAAGAAGCGAAAGGAGCTCGACGCTCTCGCACCGGCACACGCTGTTTCCCGCCGGAGCTCCGGCAAACGCAGCTCCCAGGTGATTGAAGAGTCGGCTTTTTTCTTTCTTTTTTTTTTTTTTTTTAATAGAAACATCGATCGCTAGTTTTTCAGTTTCGGCAACGATGTAGAATAGAAGCGATACGAGCAGAGAAGAAGAGTGAAGAGAGTCGCGCGCTTACTTTTATCCCCTCCTTTTTTTAGGAATTGTTGACAGATAGCAGCGACGACCGCTCGGAGTACTGGAACGTCTCCACTAGAAGTGGTCGTAAGTGCAGGGGAAGGAGAGGTCGCGCTTGTCCTGGATTCCTTAAGGCTTGTAGTGCCTTTTTCGCGTGCGCCTCTGTATTAGCGACCGCCAGTTTAATATGGCTGTTCATTGACGTTCGGCAGCAGCTTACCACTCTGCGAACCGAATTAGACCAAGGTACAGGTCTGGCGTTTCCCATGAATCGGCATTCGTGCATATTAAATTACACAACTAGACGTTTTTAATTAGAACCTTTCACATTGTTACGATATCTCGTAACGCTTTCATGTTTTCTATAATGTCAATAATTTCCTGCGAATCTCCCGTGAAATTGCAGTGATAGCGGGCAGTGAAAGCGTCCCGGATGCTTTGCAGAAGTATCACTCATTGTCGAGGGATCTTCAGAATAACCAGACCATCATCTTCACCAGACTGTCTGATCTCAAGCAGCAAATAAATAATTTTACGATACAGGTGAAACGAACGACCTCCGTAATTTCGCGTTATCGAAAAAAAAGAAATAATAACTTGTCTTTCGTATCTGCGTTGTTTCCGCAGCTGGCGCACGTTCAGCAAAGCTTGCACAAAGTACAGCAGTGTTTCCAAGCTGCGCCCGAGTTGGCCAACGTGCCCGCGCTCTCCAGCAGCGTCGCGACATTCGGCAGTCAAATAAGAGACCTGAAGGCCACGGTGAATTTTCTGAAAGAAACCAACATGAGGGTGCAGGATACGCAGACTGCTATACAGCAAAACATCAGCAGTATTAAGGTGAAATGCTCCTTCGATCGGTACAGCGAGTGCTTTCTAACAAGTCGTTATTTTGTTTTTGACTTGTGTGTCATCAGATGGAAAACACTCGGTATAAAATGACGATAGTTACTTGATTAAACGCTTCAACGTTAGTTTGAGAACGTATGTGTATTTCTAGAACACCGTATTAGAATTGTCGAACGTTACTCAGAAGCCCCAAATAGTGAATACCGATGAGATGCAAATTAAGAATGACAAGCTGAATTCCACGATATCGCATTTAACGAATAATGTGACGCATATTAACGAGACTTTGTCGAGCAAACTGCAATGGGTCGCCGATGATCAGAACAAGGATCGCGTAAGTACACATTATGTGAACTTAATGTAAATACATAATGTAATTATATGTATGCCCGTAAAATGTCGCCCGTTACACTTGTATCTGTTTTTTGCAGAAAAAACTGGTTTCACTTCAAGAAGCAACGGCGGCCATTAACACAACGGTGATGTCTTTGCAAGGAGAATGCGTTAAAATGTCCGAGCAAGCCTCTGTTCTGGCATCGGTTCAAAAACTGTCAGAAAAGGTTTATCGTCAGAAATATGCTATATTTTATCGATCGGCACACCAGGAATTATTACTAATCTGAATGATCGTTGATACAGGTGAATGAGATGCGTGCAACGGACATAGAATTAATCGGCAAGCTCAAGCAATTAGAACAGACATATAACGGACTGAAAAACTCGACTGGCATAATGTTCGCGACCGTGAACGATATTCAGCAGCAAATTAACAAGGTTAAACTATTAGACACATTAAACGGAGACATTACCACGGAACCGGAACGTGGTGCAGTAACAGGTGCGCTAAAGCCATACGATTGAATACGATCGTTAATTATAAATTCACTCGCGAATTTTATACCATCTTTTTGTCGTGTTGCGCAGATGTAAGTGACATTGCTCAGAGAAGGATTCCGAACGAGAGATCGAAGCGCCTCGGTGTAAATCTTGGTTAACTCGAAGAGGAATGAACGAGCGCTGGAAAGAAAAAAAAGGAGAAAAAACTCGTGTATAAAAGTTATTTTGTACACTGTCTAACGAAGCTGTGTATTTGTAAATAATAATAAATTAAGTATATTATAATTCTATGTATATAGAGGAAGGAACTTTGATGAAACCCGAAACGTACATGCTTCTCGTAAAGCAGAACCATTCAATGGAGGTCTGTAATTAATATCTATGTGTGCGGTGCGGCAGTTGTGAGTGTATTGTGGTCTGGGAGATGCGGTAATCACGCCGAGCAATAACTCGTAATGCGCATAAACATTCGTTAGTTTAGGATATATGAATATTGTGTATCCAATTGATAGAATTCGAAAGATAATTAGACGTGTAATTCCCTAACGACAACTGGATACTATATAGCGAAGAAGGTATTTCAGAAATACTATTGGAAAGTACAAAGTCCACAGTCGTTTACCAACACTTTTTCCGTTGTAATGTAGTATGTAGAGAAATGTTCATATTTCAAGTAACGGCAGTGTACAACTACTAAAAGTTTTCTACTCTTCTACATTTTATAGGATGTAACAATACACGTTGTAACTAATACTACGTTTCTCTGAGTGCTTTCTGATGTAAAAAAATGTAGAGTTCTCGAAATTGCAGAGAACGTCATATATATAAATAGATGGTACAAAAATATTAACTCTCAGCTGGAACACTGTATCTACCCTTGAACTTTTTTTTTCATCGATAGGTCGAATGGGAAAAAGAAGAATGAACGGTTACGAAAATCGAGAAATTGTCTATATTCGAAATATTCCGGAGAAAAAGGAAAGAAAAAATTTTAACTCGCGAGAAAAACTCGCTTCTTTCCTTGGAAATTCATAGTTTCGATGGGAAAATCATTAGAGAGATTTCTCCAGCGGGTTTGCAAAAGTTATCAAATTTAAAAAAAAAGAAAAATATCATTATTTCGATTATTTTCAAAAAATATACTTTTTCGACGAGGTGAAGTTAGATGCTTTCGGAAAAAAACATGAATTCATAAAATACACTTAACACTATGCCGTCCGGGAACACCACGTTGGTGTCCCGCAAAAACTATCGCGCAAAGGCCGGCGACCCACGTTGATGTCGTGTGCAAAACTATCACGCAAAGGCCGGTGACAGCACTGTGGTGCCGTTTGTGTTCTGATTGTGTATTGTTGGTGTTCTGTTTGTGTTCTGTTTAAGTAACAATAAGTTACAGACATCATGATTCGATCGACAGACTTTCCGGTCAGCTAAAGCAACACCAGCTAATACAAATTTCCGAAACCGACAAACGAAAACGAAGAAAGTGCCATGTATGTTCCAAAAACAAAAAAAAGAAGGACAACAAATTTAATGTGTAAATCTTGTGGAGTCGCGTTATACCTCGGAGATTGTTTTGCTTCATATCATCTAAAAAAGAAATACTAAGTACCCAATAAAATATTAATAAATAAATAAATATATAATACAAAAAAATACATTTATTTACATATATCCTCGAAATTTCATGAAAATAGCGGGACAGGATTGAAAACTAATGAGAACTGACGATTTATGATCTCCCGAAAACTTCGAAAAACCGCCGGCGCCAAACAAAAAAATCCTGATGAAACGTGCGGACGGCAAAGTGTTAATTAGACATTTGAGTGGAACATTCGCAACAAATTTTTACAAATGTGTTCCTCACGCATTGGATTAACGCATCTCAAATTCTTACATGATGTTTTTCGATCAAGGGCGGACGGACATTATCCGTCTTTTTTTTGTTTAGGCATTTTGTTTTCTGTCAATAACTCGCGAGGGTCTCGATCTTCGAGGGAACGTCTTTATTATCTAAGAAACTTTCTATTTGCATACGCAATACCATTCGCAATGTTGGATAAGTGAGGCGATGCGCTAAAAATAGCTTGATAAGAGATTTCGTACGTGATCTTTACGATATTTTTTACATATGACTTTTTTGAATGTTGAAATACCTCAAAAACATTACAAAAAATATTTTTTTAATGTCAATTTGATATTTATTTGAAGTCAATGCAACAGTTCAAAATTGCTTATAATTTGGAGTTAGAAATAACGTTGGCAAAATATTAATTTTCTGTTGTTATATTGTTTTAATTGTTTCATCAATATTATTTCAAAAATATGATGGGAATGATAGAAAAATCTTAGGAGAACATTATTTACAACGTTATGACACTTCTATTTCAACATTATCGAAATATCCAAATCAGGATCAAAATTTGTTCATAATGATGTTGTATAAAGTATTAAATACGACATATTTGAAAACATTACATGTTATTGAATATCGTTGTAATAACATCGTAGTATTTATTTTTTGCTTACTGGGTATGAATTTCCATAGGAATCCATCTGGAAATTTTCAACAATATTTTATACAATTATTTAAATTAATTTACAACATAAATAATTTTAGAAAATATTTCCTAGAGAATATTTGGGTGTACTAAAAGACGTCTTTGGAAAGTCTTTTAGACATACGTGTGGGTTTGTTTGTAATTCTTAGTTACATTCCGTGACTCGGCGATGCAGATTTGCTTTGTTTAACGTTACTTTGTTCATCATCTTTGGTATTAAGTCCTTTCTCGTTATTTTTCTAAAATAAATCGATTTTTTAAATATAATAATGATATAAAAGTGACATACAAATTGCAACTTTGTTTGCGGACATTAATTACCTCATTTGCTGGTAGTGACTTTGCGATATGCGTGAGAAAACTTTGGTTAGTTTCTTTCGTGTTGATGGTCTGCAAGTATTTTGCTCTTGCCTCTAGAACCTCTTCGAGTTCTTTTTTGTGCCGCATTGCCAACTCCAAAGCCCTATTTAGGGAAATATAAATAAATAATACGAACTGATTATAAAATTTAGGAAAAAGAAACCAAAATAATATGAGAAGCTGAATCTCATGTGGAAAATGAAGTGTACCCAAATAGCTAAACTTATAGAAGCAGATTTTGTCAGCAGCTTATTAGCAGAAATTCAACGGTATGTGTGCAGAATATGATGGCAGAAACCGAGTAGGATCTGTCATTTCGTAACCATTTAAATGTATTTAAATGGAATAAACTGCAGATCTTGATCGGTTTCTAATTTGCTGTCAAGCTACGGCAGTAGGCCGACAAAATACGAGCTTAATCCGGATATAAATCGCTATGAATCTGCCATGATATTCTGATCGAATTTGCTGCAGCAATTTGCCAGCATATCGTTAATATTTTGCCCTTATTGGATAATTTTAGACTTATTATAATAAACTTATTATAATAAAATATACTTAATTAAATTTAATTGAATTAAGTGTATTTTAATTTCTATTAAATTATTTAATTAAATTTAAGATAAATTCGTTATAATAACAATAAAACTGTCGGATGATATAATTCCACTTCTTATAATTTTCTGTGTGTGTTATTACGATTGAATTACTGCGATAGTCTTTGAAATACCTGTTCCAATTGTAGACCTCAATATTAATGCGTATAGCTTCCTTAATCAAACCGCTTTGCAACAATATACCTTCTGCCGCCAACAAATCGCCTGCCAACAGTGCCATTTCTGCATACTTTTCTGTAGCGTTAGATAAACTCTGTAAATTTTTTCACACAAATTTACATTGATCATTAATCAATTTCTATTGATCGGTAAACTCAACGTATCAACATTCACCTTTATGTATCTGATATAATCGACCTTGTCGTATCGACCGATAGCTGCGTAAGCTTCTTCCGCGGCATCCAATTCCTTGTTGTCAGTTGCTATAACAGCCATACAAGTCCACAATATCTCGTTCTGATGAGGAAACAATTTTTTCTTCAGTAAGGAAAATCGAAGTTTATCTTCAACCGTCGAATATTACCTGAGCTATGCGACACAGGGAAAGCGCTTCCTTCAGCCTTTTGTTCAATACGTGTTGATGCAAACTAGTGAACAGGGTGTAAAAGGATGAAGCAACGACAGCACCGTCCCCGCGTCTCACCATGACTAAGCCGTTGCGAACGTTCACGATGCTAGGCTGTTTTCCGAATTCGCTGCGTCCCAAGAATTTTAACAAATCGTGAAATTCAGTTATTCGAAGCGTCAATCAAAATCACATATTTTCTAACGGTTGGAAACAATGGATGATGTCTGGATCCATTACGTTTCAACCGGGAAAATATAAAATCCAATGACATAACGTGAACACAAGCAGTTATGAAGAATACCTGCTTTCTTTATCTATCCTCGTTCGCCGTATAACTTTACGATCGCTATAATGGACACAGTTAGGACAGAGCCACACAGATAGAGTCGTGTCCAACATTGCGGCCAGTACGTTCGCATCGGTCGCCCATGCGATACTTTGCGCCATTGCAGCTGCAAAGTGCGGGACAATTATAACGTTATTAAGGAGGCTCAAAAGTTATTATCCTTTACAACCGGTCTTTCCGCTCAGGACTGTCATATATTGCATTTAGTACGCTCAACAATAAAATTCTACATATCATACCTATTTTACAGATTCTCCCAAAACCTGTGGTTCTTATCGCAACTAAAAAGAGATCCTTGTTGACGTCTATCAGTGCCAATTGCCGATCGTTCATGCCACCGATATGATTTAACGCTATTTGCGTCACATTTTGCAAGTGCGAGTGTGTCGGCCCCTCTGTTATCGGTTTATTGTAAGCTACTTCCAAAATATGAAGCACTGAAAAAGTAGTGAAACAATTAAGATAACAAAGGATTTGCATGTTCAAAAGTTCAATTGTACTTAGAGATAATCCGAAGCGATCTCTGCTGAAATAATTAAAAAAAAAACGCATTTTCCATAATATGTTCATCTTACATTTCATGTTATTCTGATCTCTTATGACTAAGGTATCCGAGCACAGTGATATACAAGGAGGATAAAGAGGCTCTTGAGTAAACCCCTTCCACTTTGGAGTGCCCAGTAAACGGCCTTGATAATTATACAATGACACAGTATTCCATTCCACAGTCAAGAAATGTCTACAAAATTTTGTACATATATAATTAGTATATATTAGTGTGTGTATGTATGTATAGGGTGGTCCACTTAAATCGAACATCTTAATGTTTCATTTGTTTTTAATGATGTGAAAAAAAAAAAATATGTATATATATATACTATATTGTAACCGCTTACTTTTCCGCAAGAAGCACGGTGGAGAGAGTACTGCTCTTCAAATTAAATATCGCTGGAGTGTTCCAATTAGTCACTGAATACACATGACATTGAGCGGGTGTGATGACGACTAAATGGCCGAAGCCGAATTCGAGATGCACAACACGATCCGAGATTTCTAATACTTCACGAACTTCGTTACCTACTTCTCTGACTTCGATCACCTTCTTTCTCACCAATGTTGCTTCATAATTATCCCATTCTAATCTTCTATTAAAAATTATAATAATGCAAAATATTCCATAGTTATATCAATCTTGACCTACATAATTAATTCTGATAAATTTAGATTTTTCTTAATAAAAAAAATGTCGAAATGTTTATAATTGATGTGACAAATCCAACCGACTTTCTTCCTTGAAACTTACTTATCTATCACATGTCCAGTTAATAGTTTTCCATTACTGCACGCCATAGCCACTTGAGTGCTGTCGCTGGACCAAGCTATACTAAATATACTCCCGGTATTCAATTTTTCCATAGAATGCGTCCACTAAAATATAACAATAAGTATGAATGTTATTGTATCGACAAATCATAAATATATCAAAATTAATATAACACGTTCGTTTCGTAGAATCTATTTAGGGGAATTTTCCCCACGGGTCGCATCATAATTTTGTTTTTCACGTAGTTGTATAAAACAGTTTTGGTTTGATAATATGAACACGAAAAGAAATTTTTTAGCATCGCATATATTTCGCGAGATATCGTTGCGTCACATATATATGTAACGCTAGTAGTAAACGTGACGACAAAGAAGAATTTTACCTGTATCAAAACCTTTTAATTATTTGTTGAAATTTGATTATGAGCATATTTATATAAGACAAAGTAAAACATGTATACCCCATTTTTATCGCAGAGCTTGATGGTATTGAAGGATCCAACGGCGAAGTAATTGCCGGAAGAATAACACCAGCTAATTGCCGTCACAGGATGATCACCTACGCTACTGCTGTACAACTGATTACTGTTGGCGTCCCATATCTGTCAAAAGTTATTTCTAATTTTTATAATTACTTCTACTTCATAAAGACCCTCTAGATACTATATAGTTCATGCAGAAATTCCTCCTTGGACATTTAGAAAATCACATACCTTATATTTACAATCTTCACCTCCAGAAACTACAAGTCCATTTGTTTGACTCCAGCAAACAACTAGGATAAGACTGTCATGTGCGTGCCACTGAAATTAAAATTACATTATTTATTTTATAAATGTGTCACTTTTTAATAGGATTTTTTATATGACAGACGGGACATCATACCGTCATATAAAATATATGATATAAATATTATATACATATAATATAATGTTGCATATCATAATGAAAGGAGTCTTATATTCATATATACAAATATAGTACGTGAAGATAAGTATAAGAAACTATTCAACTTTGAGTGGTTTCGAATTGGAATTGAGCGGTTGAAGAAGCAGATTTGTCCCCTGGGAATACAAGATTGTTGAACAATCAGGACTCCAGCTTGACGTTAATATAGGGAGACTCGCTCGCACTAATGTTGAACGCAACATACCACTGCGAGACCAGATTTTGATCAATCCATCTTCACCAGCTGTAATCGATATCATATTTATCAAATCAGCCAAAATTAGGCAAATTTTATACATCAAATAAAAAAAAAAACCTTAAAAATTTATTTGTAATAAACGAATTTTATTCATTGCAAATCTATTAAGTATGCATAAATGTAATCGTGACTTATAACTTAAAACATCCTCGAACAGAGTAGAACACTGCTGAACATTCCTTAACACGTTGACTGCCAACTACGAGATATCTCGTAGGTTGTTTACTTGCTCAGGACGCCAACTATGAGTTATCTCGTCGCTTCATTAATTGATTAAATCAAATTGGCTTCTTAGACCAGAATCGTGAAAAGTTCCGTAGCAGTCAGCGTGTTAAATAACAATGTGATTTCGAACCTGTTAACAGCGCAGAACCGTCACTGCTCCATTTGCCTACTGTCGTCGCACCTTTGTGAGCTTCAACACTTTTTTCGATACGACCATTTTTGTTGACCAAGTGATATTTTCCTGGAAATGAAATATTAGTTATTCCGATATTATTTTGTCGAAAAAAATATTAGATTTATCAAAAAATATATTTTGCTATCTGTTATTTTTTCCCCTTTTACAATACAATGAAGAGAAAAAAGAAGAGAACAATTTTTCTTTAATTCTGATATGATCTTTAAATTTATAAAACAGTAATTAAGCTGATTAACAAGGGTACATAGGATGAGGCAGTTTAAAGTGTTATAAATTTATATCTCGGAAACAAAACATTTTTTAGGAAAAATATTTTATACAGAAATTTTGTTACTTCGAGGGGGACATGAGAAGGTGTCATTGATTTGACTTTGGGTAGTCGTTTAAAGATCAGACGAAGGTTACGTCCAATTACTTAAATGGAAATTTTTCATTGCACATTCTTGTAGATTACCTCGAGAGCTTTGAGTCAATCACACTATCTTACGTCTTCCTCAAACTCACCAAATTTTTGTATGAAACATTTTTCTCTAAAATACTTCATTCCTGAGATATAAATTAATAATACTTTAACTGACTCACTCTGTATATTCTTTTAGCTGAATAAATAACACACCATCGACCGTAGTGATCAGTAGAACATCCAGAGATGATTTCTTGGCAATAGATATAGTATGATTGGGACGTGGATGCCATTGCATATCCGTGGGATAGAAATCGCTTGGAAATTCTGTCACAACACTGGAATGCGCAGTGCCACCTTCCAACTGCCAGGATATTAATAAATGATCCTCTCTGTATGAAAAACAAAAATATTAAATATATCCAAATGACCAAACCTGCAGAAATAGATTCTGCGCAGTTCGCTATCAGTGGCTTGTTAGCAGAAATACAAGATCCACTAACAGAGTATGATGGCAAATTGATGGCAGAAACAAGACAGAATTCGTTGTTTCATAACCATTTGAAATTATTTAAACGGAACATACTGCTCAGTTTCTGCCACCGATCTGTCAAGTTATGTGTCTGCAAATTCTAAAACACAAACTTGATGCATGGGCTTTGAATCTGCCATGGTATTCTGATGTTAAATCTGCTGCCAATCTGCCAGCATACTGCTAACGTTTCGCTTAGTGGATACATTTCTTTTATTTTATGTTAATGTAAAGTAGAAACAAAAAAGGATAAATTATTTCAAAATAGCGCATATTGAATTTATATTGTATTTACATCATATTTATTAGTGAACTCACCCACACGAGTAAATCTCTTCCGTTGAACTCCACGCAACGCAAGTGAGCAACCGTTTGTGCTCATTGTTACCTTGCACAGATATCTTCAGTCTCATGACAAATATATTTTATATTATAGTTCTCTGTCAAATTAAGTAACCTTCTCTTACGTCACTTGTCTTGACGGTGGAAATAGAGAAAATTCAGTACTTAGCTTTGTAAACGAACGAGTTTCATAAAGAAACTCAAAATAATTGAAAAAATGTAATAAACAAAGATAGAGTCATTGTTCATGAAAAATAATTGTTTATTCTAAAGTAATGTCAGCTTTCGAAACGGAGAATCACGTGTATTGTAGTCCAACCGGGTCAAATTCAAGTCCTTATTTTTCGCCAGGGACTGCAACAGGATCGGACACATTTTGTTTACGTTTCATGTTCGATGGTAACCATAGTAACAATTGATTAAAACCAGCGGTACATGGTGCTTGTTTTCATGCTGGATAGAAATACTGCGCCTTGATTGGTGTATTGTCATCCATTTTTGAAAATGCACCAATCAGAACGCAGTATTTCTATCTAGCAAATAATCCAGCATGAAAACAAACATCGTGCGCCGCTGGCTTTACATAGAGATTTGTGCCAGAACAAGCGTAGAACATCAGCATGAAATGGCTTGACGGCTTCTGTGTTCTTACTTTGGCTATCTTTGTTTGATGACGTCAGAAGCGAGAAATCGCATGTCAAGATATATCACGACGCGGAAATAAAAGAATATGTGAATAAAATAGCATTCGTGATACATTTAGCACACTTATAAAAATGTTCGGACTCTTACTTTTAACCTGAACTAATCAATAAATATTTGTAAAATTAACATAACAGCAATCATGAGAAAAGATGGGTTAATAACGCAAGTTGTATGTTATACTAATTTCCGGTTATTTATTGATTATTCAGGTCAAAGGAAAGCATCCGGACATTTTCAAGTGTGCTGAATCTGAATGCTACTTTATGCACGTATTCTTTTATTTCCACATATACCGTAATATATTTTGACATGTCATTTTTTGCTTCTGATGTCATCAGGACAGCCAAAATGAGGAGACAGAACACCTTAATATCTGTAATAATCTGTACATTCGACTTCTCGGAAGAATATAATTTCTTTTATGGAAAATTTTGAAATGATAGAACTTCATGTTGATACTATTATGTCGACCAACGCAATGTTATAACTAATTTTAGTAACATGGACATCACCATTATTTTAGCGAAAGTAATTCTCAAATAATATGTCAAAATATTGTTTTCGTCGTCTCAAAGTATCGTTATTTTTAATTTTTTTTAACACTAGGTTTATGGGACCTGTCATTTCGACGGATTTCCGACTCCATGAGCAAAATTACAAAAACCTTTACTATTAATTTTTTTCCAATTTATGCTGACAATTATTGGTGTAATGAGATGAATATATACCCAAATTTATTTCCCCCTCAGCCCTGTAATTTCAGAATTCTGTATGATGTATATCTATCTCTATGGATACCCGTCAAAATGACGGGTAAGCTAGTTTCATAGTTAATCGTAATAAACCGTTTTTTTTCATGAAATTATTTTTCTAGTGACAAATGTAAAAGTAGTTAGAACGTAGATACTAAATAAAAATCATAATTCAACGGAGATATCTTTCGATAGCTTCGAACGCAATAACAACGCGCCGCGGTTCGTCAGAGCAAGGGATTTGTCGCGTGTGCTTATCTATCAATCGTACGTGCCTAAAGCGGAAAGAAAAGCGTTAGATCCAAGACAAAGGAACGATCTGCAGTCGTTGAGTTGCAGTCAAAGTGTCAAGACGTTTTAGACAAAGTTTCAGTTAGTGCGAATAGAGACGATCGAGAAGAAAGTATTAGATTATTGTGAGTATTAGCAATATCATTATAGAATTATGGGAAAGTACTAGTTTTACTTTATTCTGACGAATCACCCTTCTTTAGCCATTATGAGTAATTCAAGAAGAGATACTGAATTGCTAGAGAGAGAATAGTTGGTATCAGCGAAGATTGTTCAGGCACAAGCTCCGAAGAGCACGAAATCGCTGAATCTGAAGGTGAAGATATTGAAGAATCTTTAGATAATAGTGATGAAGGAAATTTGCAAAATGTATGTCGTGGAAGGGAAAGGATGCGTATTATCTCAGATTTAGAGTCCGATACTGAGACGAACATTCCTGGCACATCCCAAAATGCAAGTGAAACAGAAGTTGCGGTTAACGGTACCGTGTGGCAAAAATTGAAGATAGGCAGATCACCTGCCTATACAATATTCTAAAACGTCGCAGGACCAACTGGCTATGTGAAAAATTATGTTAGGTTGTGTAAATAGTGCATTCCAATTAATAATAGATGGAAATATGATGCAAAATATAAAAATTTGTACCAAAGCGGAAGCATGTCGAGTTTTGAAAAGGCAGTAGACAATTTCAATTGCAGAATTATATGTTTTTGTAGCAATTTGTATGCTCGGGGGGCATATGACGCACGAGCAATGAAAGCTAGTTATTTATGGTCCAAGAAATGGGGCCCACCTTTCTTTACAGACGCAATGCCCAGAGACAGATTTATCGAGATTCTTAGGTTCATACGTTTTGATAAAAAAATATACCGATCTCAGCGCTTACGTACAGATAAATTTGCCCTAATATCTGAAACATGGAATAAATTTATACATAACAGTCAAGCATGCTACAATGAGAATATTTCAATTGATGAACAACTGTTTCCGATGAAAGCTCGATGTCGCTTTACACAATATATGCTTAACAAGATTAAAAAATTTGGCATTAAATTTTAGTTGGCAGTCGCTGTCAAAACAAAATATATTATAAATGGTTTTCCGTATTTGGGTAAAGACGAAACCCGACATTCCACATATTTAGTGCAATTTGTAGTCTTGAAATTGGCCGAACCGTATTTACGCAAAGGAAGAAATATAACTACGGATAATTTTTTTACCAGTATACCACTTGCAAAAAAATTATTAGCAGAAAAGACAACTTTGGTTGGGGCCATCCGGGCGAACAAAAAAGAGTTATCGAAACCAGTAAAAGTATGCAAAGATAAAATGATCCTGTTTTTTTCACTGCATTATAAATCAGACAACTGCATTCTCACTATTTACCAGAGTAAACTAAAAGTAAAAGTATTATTACTAAGTACAAAACATACATTTGTGACATTGTGTCATCGTAAAAGTGTCCCGGAAACAATCAGATTTTATAATCAGACCAAGTTTGGCGTAGATGTAGTCGACCAAATGGCGCGCAAATACAGTGTAAAAGCAGGGTTTTTTCGGTGGCCTCTTCAGATTTTTTATAATATTTTGGATTTGGCACTCATAAATTCCTGTACTGTACAAGAACTGCACCGATGCGAGAATATCCCGAAAAGATTTCATGTTCCAATTGGCCGAAAAGCTTGTCGGCGAATACAAAAGAATAGAGACAAGGATTCTCCTTCCATCCGTTAGCAGTTCGCAACTGCACAAATCGTGTCAAATCGGCTATTGTAACAAAAATAGAAGAGTATTTGTATTAAATGTAAAAAGAACGTTTGCGGAAAATATATACGGACAACAGAATATATCTGCAAAAAATGCGCGGAATGAATGTATGAACAGTAAAAGTTTGTTTAAGTTTGTGATTATTTATGCGATCCTAACAGATTTAATTAACTTATATTAAGTCTGTCAAGATTATAATTGTTTTAAAATTAAATTAATCGTTTTTTTTTTTTAAGAAAATACGTGGTTTTCCTTTACCCGTCAATTTGACGGGTGTTCGTAAAGATAGGTATATAAAAATGTCCATAAATCTAGTGTTAAACATGCTTATGAAGTAACGTTAAAAATAAGGGACAGGTTATTACAATATATATCATTTTATGTAGGGTGATGTATTTACATTATTTATTACATATAATACGTTTCACTGCGTTACATTAATTCAATATGTACTAAATATGTATTATATTATTTCGATTTTCGTTATATAATACCAGTGGGAGCATAGTACTATATACAAATTTGTTTCTCTTCTTTTAGAAATAAAAATGCTAAGACAAAACAGGAATGAAGAGATAGAAGATATAAACTCATTTAATTTGACATAACACATGATTATAGATTATAATTGTGTATGTAATAAATCTTAATAATAAATTGAAAAGTTGTATATTATGTACAGTATTAACAATTTATAAACCTGTAACTTTAGAAATATTTATTCAATATTCGAATATAGGAGTAAGTTCCAAATAAAAATGTTTAACATAAAATTTGATAGATTATAACATATGAAAGTGACAAGAATAAACAAAGGATTTTCAAATATATACTGTTAAGTCTAATAAAACATTCTACAGTCATATATTGGCTTTGACTCTTTCAAAAGAAATAAAAAAATTAAGGAAAATAGAAAAAGGGGAAAAAACCGGTTTCTGCAATTTTCAGATTAGCTTTAACTTAAATACAACATATTTTTACGAAATTATTTTACATTATATGCCGTTTTTTAAGTATATATTTTTATATACCAATACTGTGTTTCAACAATATTAAGAGATTTATCTGGTAACGATATATATGATATTACAAAATTGTAACAATAAATAAAAATATGGCGTGAAATGAGTTTTATATGATATTACTCCCTCTTAAAGTCAACATCAAATGACCCAGTAATCACAGCCATAGGAAGCAATATTGTTGTATATATCATAAGGTTTAGATACATAGTGTATTTATATTACAAAAGTGACTAAGGAGCATTTTGTCATTTGTACTTGAGTAATCAAGAAAAGAGAGAATCACGTATTCTCTCTCTCTCTCTCTCTCTCTCTCTCTCTCTCTCTCTCTTTCTCTCTCTCTCTCTCTTGTACAAATAATAGTTTCATCTACACTGGATCCTCCTTTTCTTTCTTATACTGTACATATTTAATATTAGTTTATCTACAATGTTCTATAAAATAATTACTTTACACCGTTCACGCAATTTTTCAGGATAACCAATTGTATATATATTCTTCATTTGAGGCTTCGGAGTAGTCGCTGTGTGACTGTCCTTGTTTAACCAGTTAAGTGTGTTTGACGACTATATCCGTCATGGAGATGTGGCAGAATCTTGTGTCATGACAACTATATCCGTCATGCGTAAAATTTTGTCACAATTTGATATTTAATGTGTAAATATATGTTCATGTTGAGTGACTGTGTAAATATTACTAATAAAATTGTTCATTTTGTAAAATAAAGTCGTCTTTTTGACCTAATATTTCAACAGCGCCACTTACTCTGTGTTTGACGACTATACCCGTCATCGCTTGATTATCGCGACACACACTGGTGGGCGCTTTACTTTAGATCGCCACAGTTAACTGGTTAATGACGTCAAAAGTGAGAAAACCGCATGCTAAAATTTTTTGCGTCATATTTTCAAGTAAAAATGGTATCCACAAAATGATATCTGTAATATCGATTCAGTACACTTGTAAAATTAGGCAAATACTTTTCTTGCACTTGGATAATCAGTAAATGGTCTTTTTAAGTTCTAAACCTTCGTTTCTCTTTATTAATTTTACGACTATTTGTTGATTCGAGTAAAAGTGTCCGTCCAATTTTACAAATGTGTCTAACCAATCGCAAATGTCACTTTGTGAATACATCTTTTTATTTGAAAATATTATGCAAAAAATCTGTGTTAATAAGTTTTCTCACTTTTGACGTCATTAAGACTCCCGGATATTCACTTTGACTGCCCTTCTTTAATGATGTCAGAAACGAGAAAAATCATGGCAATTTATGTGGCGGTATATGCAGAAATAAAATGATATATGCACAAAATAACACTTGTGATCGATTCAGCACACTTGTAAAAATATCTGGACGTTTTCTATCAACCTGAACAATTAATAAATAAGCTGTAAAATTAACGTAACAGAAATCATGCGAAAAGATAGGTTAAAAACGTAAGTTACGCTAATTTACGACTATTTATTAATGTTCAGATTGAGGGAATGTTCGGACATTTTTACAAGTGTGCTGAATAGATCACGAGTGTTATTTTGTGCATACATTCTTTGATTTCCTCACATACCGTTGCATAAATTGACGTGATTTTCCTCGCTTCTGACGTCATTAAAGAAGGATAACCAAAGTAAATATCCAGGAGCTTTAAACAGGGATAGTCACAGAGATTACCTCCGGAGCTTTAATTCTAATTCGTATTTATATCTACAATTTGGAAAAATGTTATATCGCTATATTCCAATGACGTTATATTTTACACATTAAAGGTTTTCTTTAATTATTTTTAATAATCTTGTGATGTCAAATATTGAACGATATCATAATATTCCGTCAATGATTGTAGGCTGTCTAATTTTGCTTTTGCAAAATTAATTTTGCAAAATTATCCTGCATTCATTAATCGTGTAAATTTAATTATTTTCTAAGATGTAGCTTATTATCAATGAAATTCTTGCATGCATCCCACCGTTTTCTTAACTTACTTAATGGTACAATGGTACATTATAGTGGGCCGCAATCTAATTATGCTATGTGCGTAATCTATTTTCACTATTCAAGTGGAGCATTGAACCCATTTTCCTGTTCCAAAATATTGTATTTCCAAACTAGAAAAGTATGAAGCGGCATAATACGTTTTTTAACGTCACGCTTTCACTGGCAACGGTTCTATTTGCTAAACAAGCGTAGGTCCATCTGTATAGCAGAAATTTGCTTGACACCCTTTAAACGATAAGTATTATCATTAGTATTTCAATTCATATTCAATTTTACCAACGCTAAGCGACTTATTAATAAAATATATTCAAATATTTATTTATATAAGCTAAATATATACACATTAGAGTGTAAGTAAAGCATATAAATTGGATTATAAATAGACGCGGGAATATATTATGTAGCTGGTAGATAACGGAGGTAAATTTTTACACTCAGAATAACATTATATCACTTTGCCAAAAACTCCTATCATTGATACTCCATATGAATAGTACAATAGATAGTAACATTTTATTTGAATTTTTTACATATTGATTGACAGCCAACGGCATGAAGAATGATTAATGATTATTTTATACAATACCAAATTTATAGAGTTACCAAGCAATAAAATCCCTTTGTGCGGTTAAAGCAATACTATATTCTCATACCGATCTCGAAAATATGCCTGAGAATGTATTTATTGAAAACTTATAAAATATGATAATATGAAGCATGACAAAATCAAATTTTCTTCTATTTCATTTCTGCCTGTTGAAATGAAACATTTTTATCGGTCACAGTTAGAAGCCAAATAAGTTAAAACCAGATACGGACTGTAACGTAAGATTTTCATCTGCTGTAGAATGTAACATTGATATTATTATACGAAGCAATGTGCTAATAATCATTATTTAAGAAATTATCTGGCATGTCAATTTATTAAGATTTGTTCTATATCTTCGTTCGACATCATCCTTCTATAAATATTGGGGCTTTCTCATTTAGCGATTTATATACGTACATAAAAATGTCGCTGTGTAATAAAACGAATCAACGTAATACTATTCATTGTTGGTAAACTTTCGTAGTATAGAAAATACGATAGTCCTCTCTCTCTTTCTCTCTTTCCTGCTCTTCTACATATGCTTTTCTGCACTTCACTCACTCACTCTCTTTCTTTCTCTCTCTCCCCCTCCCCCCCTCTCTTTCTCTCTTTCTCTCGAGAACGATCGCTCATTGTTAGTGCAATTTCTCGCATATCTAACTCGTAGTCACTTTAAGTAATACGGGTGACGAGGTGTGATTGTTGAAGTACAGACCTGCGCCTTGAAAGCTATTAGATCTTGATGCGAGCATTGAAGGATTCTGGTTTATTCCGGTCCCGCCGTTGTCTGTATCAGTGTCGTCATGCTCCTTATCTCGTTGGCCATGTAGTCCGTATTTAAACGATTCGTATCTGTATCACAGGAGATACAATTTAAAAAGCATTTACGAAATGCAAATTAAGACGAATGGAAAGTATATTATCAAATTATATAATAAAACCGATGATACAAAAATGATGAACCTACATCATCCAACAAATGGCAGTGGCTGGTGCTTGGAATAAAACACGAGCGAACAAACCACGGAAATATCCTTTTATACCGCTATGCCTGTAAATCTGCTTAAATGCATCCATCATTCCTTGAGCCTTCGCACCGTCTTGCTGCGTATTTAGTACCGTCTTACAAACGTCCAGTGGCGTTGTCACTGCGGCTGCAATTGCGCCCGCCGCTGCACCTGTTATATAAGTCACACGACACAATGTATTATTTATTATATCTTTTTATAGATGGTATTAGAATATAACAAGCAACATTCTTTAGAATGCTTCGAAGAATATTTATACACACGATGTCCCCTTCATCAAAGCCCCTGGATACTCGCTTTGGCTGTCCTTCTTTAATGACAGATCAGCAACGAGGAAAATAATGCCAACTTATGTGACGGTATATATGGAAATAAAAGAATATATACGCAAAATAACACTTGGGCGTATTCAGCACATTTGTCAAAATGGCTGGACGCTTTCCTTTAACTTGAACAACTAATAAATAGCTTAATAAATAATTAATAAATAAAATTAACGTAACAGGAATCATGAGAAAAGATGGGTTAAAAACATATATTGCATATACACTAATTTACGGGTTATTAACTGTTCAGGTTAAAAGAAAGCATCCGGTCATTTTTACAAATGTACTGAATCGATCACGAGTGTTACTTTGTGCGTATATATTCTTTTATTTCCATATATACCGTCACGTAAATTGGCATGATTTTCCTCGCTTCTGACGTCATAAAAAAAGGATAGTAGTGAGTATCCAGGAGCTTTAAATTTAGAAAAGATTTAGCAATTTCTTGGCCAATTTGGAGTCAATTTTTTCTCGATAGTGTCAAAAGTGTCAAAAGAGGCCATTAATTTTAATCCGGTTATCTCGATATTCGAATAACATATGAGTAAACATACTATTTTGAAAAGCTTTTGAGGTAAGCTAGAAGAATATGTTAAAAAAAAAAAAAAAAAAGGGACTCCGTTTAAAAAAATTGATGGTGTCCTGACCTTAGCAACGCCATCCAAGATCAAACTGATAAGATCAGTAAATAGACCGTTTTAAACCCTACAACTTTTATGTGAAACATTTTTCTGTAAAACTTATATTTTTCGAGATTTTTAAGGGTCCTGACCTTTTTAGGATACCCTGTATAATATAGTACAAATATAATGTATAAATATAAAATACAGCATTGTGTAAAAAAATATATACATAACATACAAGTATAATTTAGTGACATTTTTATTAAAACAATTTCTCTATTTGCAATTGTTAACTATGAAAAATTATTGGATATTTTTATTATTATTTTTATTATTAAGAGAAGGATTAATTAAAAAAATTAAACAAATTTTTATATAACTTTGTAAAAAATAACAAATTATATAAATAATAAATTATATCTATAAGTTCTTAGGTAAATATCTTGTTTTAACCCATTTCGTTCCTTTGTTTTTATACAGGAACAGCAAACTTGTCTAATTCAAAAATTTTTTTATTTATAATAAAGATGGATTCGGGCCTAAATTTTGTTATTGAAATATAGTTTAACATGATTTGCCTTTCAGAAAATAATTTTATCTGGCCATCAGTCATCATCCCGCTTCGCCCGGCGGTAAGCGGAGGGTAGAAAATAACCTTGCAAAATACACCTTTCAATTTATTGCCACACTTTTTAATTAATTCAAAATAGTAACTAATAAAAAATTGAAAACAATGATGAGGTAATTGTTGCCAAAAGTTCAAGTTTCACCGTTGAAAATGACGATTCCTGTTATGATATGATTCACCAAGTATATGCTAGATAAATCTCTACTCAAGGTAAATGTTCCGACTATTTTCCAGGGAAAATGGCAGGTGGGGAAATTCTGGTTTTAAGTTTTTTGAATTCCTTGGGTCATAATTACCCTAAAACGGTACTTGAATCTCATGGATCTCAATATTTTGCGGCCCGAAATAGGTTAAACCAATTACGAATTAAACACATATATCTCTGTATAACATTATATAAAAATATATTAATACGTGCATATATATTTTTTTTCAAAAATATTAGAAAGGCATACCTTAGAAAAGAGAAAAAAATTTACATTACAGATATAGTATAGAATGACTTACCAGATCCAATATGTGCTGCTGGATCGTAGATACGATGCGGATTAGTGACAGACTGTGCGAATTCATAAGAAATAAAATGAATAGTTTGAAAAGGCACATTCATGGCTAATTGAGTCGTATAGCTTCTGTAAAATGCAGATATCCCTTCTTTTTGATACACATTTTGTATACAATTTAATACGCCCCTATAGGGGGAGTTGTACATCTGCAACCGTTGTTTCACCACTGGAACAAGATAATATTAATATATTAGATGGATTTATAATATTAATATATTAGATGGATTTATTATATCTCTATAACCTTTTAACGTGTTAATTAAGAAATTTTTTAATCAGAAATCATATCTTTCCTACATAAGGTAAACATCTCAGTGATTGAACATACACGTTCCAATGATTAAAATATTATTGATGTACTTTTCTTTATTAAGATGCTTTTCAATATACGGAACAATATAATAAATGAAATGTTTAGTTAATTTGATTTTGTTTCATTTATTGATAAACATCTTAATAAACACATATATATTATTAATGTTTCAATCATTGGAACATATTCCATTATTAAAACGTTTATCTTATGCACTTAAAAATGAATGAAGTCTAATTAATCTTGTGTTCTCGCCGCAGCTATCTTATTTTATAACGCTAAAAACGAGAAAATTCGTGCTTAGAGTTCTTATTATATACATTCGAATAAAAAGATATACCCATGTAAAATGACATTTATGATGGATTCAGCATATTTGTAAAATACTCCGAGTACTTCCTTTCACTTGAATAATCAGTAAATAAAACCGTAAAATTAATATGACAAAATCATGTAAAAGGATAGGTTAAAAAGGAAAATTGTCCACGTCATATTAATTTTACAATTATTCATAGAGTATTAGAGTAAAACAAAAAGCTTTCGGGATATTTTATACATATATTCATTCGATCACGAATGTCATTTTACGAGTATACGTATTTATTTGAACGTATACTGCATTTTCTCGTTTCTGATGTCATTAAACATGCAACGACTGCAGCAAAGAATCAGGAGACTTAAATCATCTTCTCTGTCCACAGTGAGCGTATATGTGAAATAATTTCATTTTAATAATATTAACATAACGATGAAATTAAAAACAGTAATTTTTATATAAATTAAAACTAATTTACTTAAGCAATATTTTGACTAGAGTAATGAATTTTTATTTCTGGAGTTACATACAAAAATAAGCAGGAACAAAATAAAAACAAAAATTGTAAAGAAAGAAATTTAGTCTGTATAAATAAAACATATATCAGTTTTCTTGTCCATTTTTTAGATGAAATTGCCTATATAGGGTATCCAGAAAAATGGCTTACTTTTGAATACATCTTAACAACGATGAATATCAACTGATAACGAGAAGCGTTGCTAAGATGTCTTCAGAAGAAAGTTCCTTTTCAGCGTGCAGCCTTGTGTCACATGTCATGTCGCTGCGTTACTCCGTCTCTGGATATCTTGATGCTTATCGTGCCGCGTCTTCAGAAATAAGCCATTTTTCTTTATACAGAATCCGGTCTACCGCTTCCCGCGTACGCTCGTTAGCTCATATAGATTAATTAAATCCTTGTTAATCATTTCGAAATTTGTAAAATGACTTTCCCGTTCAATTTAATCCATTCTACCTGCACATCACGGATTCCGCGAAAATTATCGGACACCCTATATAATAAAAAACAAAATTTAGTTTTCTTGTTTTCATCATTTACTATTCCACCAATAATGGTGAAACAAATAAAAAGTGAATTACTTGTGTAACTGTTTAACCCTCTGTTAGTCGCAAGTGTGTCCAATAGGAAATACCAGGTCTGGTCACTATACTTTTTACATACTAATTAAAGAAAAAAGTTATAGACAATATCTTATAATATTGTGTACATTATAATCTAGCCACATCCTTTAGGTAAAAGAAAAAAAATATTAATCTTATATATATTTATGCGCAAAGAAGTTATTTTATTGTAACGAAGTCGTGCAAATGTGACATATCCTGGGTTAATTGTTACATGTCTTTTATATAGAGAAAACAAGACAAGTGGCTTGTTAATATTTTATTAAAATTAATAATATATTATAATGCAATATATAAAGCTGACTTAAAGAAATTATATATATTTATATATTATATCATTAATAAAAAAAACATAAATCATTTCTTTTATAGAAGCTCAAATGCGTCAAACTAACCAGATTTACTTCACAATATTCGGCGATCAGTACGTGTGCTTCTACGCGCATGCGTAAGGAATGTCATAAAGTGACAGCTAGTTTTACCGGGTTTTAGTCGATTCATTCTAAAACGTTCATTCACCATAAAAGAGATTTTTATAAATAATGTTGCAGTAACGGTGAATTAAATACTGGGAAAATTAGCGAAAAATATAATATTCAATACAAATAAGGAGAAATTGCGATTAGTAATCCTAAAATCAACAGAATATTAACAATAGAGACGAGAAAAAATTTACTTACGCATCCAATTAGAAAAAAAAAATGTTTATAAATTCCATATGTGCGATACTCTGGCTATAAGCCGTTTTTCGTATATCTAAGTAACAGGATAGCAAACTACGTTGCAAAGAAAAATCATTCCTTTTATTTGTGAGAAATAAACTTTGCGGCTTTCGATCTGTGTGTGACTTTTAAACCAGATCTTCCCTAAATACGTTCAAGCTACAATGTTCGAGTTGCCGTTGCTATACGGCCTCAAGGTCGCTCTTGTCAATGTTTCTTCTTTGTTCTCTTTGTTCATGATTTTGTTTATACCTTGGTCTATTAGCCAAGGGCCAGTGGAAGAAAAATTGTTTCAGAAAGCAGAGGAAAATAATGGAGAAATTAGTGTATCTGTGAGATACACTGCGACCATTCGTGGGTAAAGAATATTGCGACTAACAGAGGGTTAAGGCCATTTTATTGACAGAAGGGTTTAAACTCCCACCTTCTAAATGGCATCTCCTACACGTAACGCCATCTGCGCTTGGCGGTAACTGAACTAACGGGTGACGTTTTATAATAAGATATTGGCATACAGAGTATCTAAAAAAAAACCATTCAATATTTATATGATAGTACACGCTATGCTCAGTAAGAAAACCTTAGTAAACGTAGACTGAAAACTCAACGGGTTCTGAGATATAAACATTTTTATGTGTTAGCGTCGTGATTTACTTACTAGCTTCTACGCATCGCATGCGATGTCTATCTCACCGCTTAGAAATCGTGTTTCGAATATCCTCACTCGATATTTCCGAACACTTCATAATAGAAGATTTCATCGGCGATCAGTCAGTTGTCGTCAACCAGCAATTGTAGATCTATCTGGTGTGATTGCAAAGTTACAAAGTGTCGTGCTGAAAATGATAACGTATCATTCTAATGAATTGCCGATAAGTGACTTGGAAGAATTACGTGATCGAAGCGTATTTGTCAAGTACTTCGACGGAAACCTAGAATTTTGCGAGAGAGTTCGCGAGTCTATAAAGAAGTAGATGTCAAACGTGTATGAAAGTGGAAGAAGGACATGTGAACTCTCCTGTAAATATGGAAATCAAGATTTGGATGAATTATCTTCCTCTCATGTCGCATGCGATACGTAAAGGCCGATAAATAAATCATGATGCTAACACGCGAAGATATTTATATCTCAGAAGTAGCTGTTTACTAAAATTTTTTTTATTCGGTGTGTATTATCTATCACATAAATATTGAATAGTTTTTTTGAACACTGTATATTTATCGCTTCGTATATCGCTCGTTCTTGCCCGCTGCTGTTCGCTTATGCTCGCTATTTCTCGCTCTATCGCTTACTGTAACGTTTGCTACGCTAATTTATATTTCAGTCATGGCGCGCATCCCCACTCTGCATGACGTCGCTCGTTTAGTTCGACCAGGACCGAGCGCAGATTGTGCTGAAAACTGCGTCCAATTCTTACGAGAGCGAATCTGCATATTGGATTCGTAATGCCATAAACGACAGATTTCTTGCGTGCCACTTGCAAATAGAAATATTTACATGAAACAATACCTAAGATCACTTGAGGACATTTATGAAAATGTTCGAAGACTACCCTCCCCCCTTCTGATGGTCAATAAATAACCGTAATAGACACATAAAATAAGGCCTTTTTGCAAGGAGTGGAAAATATATCCCCCCCTCCTTTCCCACATATAAAAATTCCAAGTTAACTTTAGCTTTCGGACATTTTTACGAGTTTAAATATGTCACAAGTCACAGTTACATAATAAAATACATAGTAATGAAATGGCACGTAAGAGAAATTTCGTTGTCGACACGCTACTCTTTATGTACAAGTGCGGTTCAGAGATGATTCGAAGCTAGAAATGATTCGGAGTGTTTCCCTTTCTTTTTCTTCCTTTATTTGGATCTAAAAGACAGACGAAGAAAGAAACGTTTCGAAGCATTTGTAGCTACTACATTATTGAATCGCACTCTATTATTCACCCTTTCGTCGTCATAAACTATGTCACTATGTCACCATTATCAATACAGAGTTCTCGGCTCCGGAACCAGGAGCCTTAAAAGCAAAAAAATGCAACATATAATGCTATTGATGTAGATAGCCTATATTGATGCTTTCTAGCAGCTATATAGAGAATATCATTGCCTTGACACTTTTATATTTTTATATAATTATTATTGTACGTTACAACTAAATGCCAACTATGAAAAGTAAATATAATAAAAAAGGAGGCGAAAAATTATCAGAATGTGTAATGTCATCTAAATAAAAATTAAATATTGACTTTTAATTTTTCTATAGGAAAGATGTGTGATTATAAATTTTTATGAGTTAAAACTCGTATGTTCTTCTTAATCAACGTGTAAAAACGTTAAGGTTTTGCTTCTCGTTGCAACTGTCCTTGTTTGATGATGTCAGAAGCGAGAAATTGCATGCTGAAATATGTTATACGTGGAGATAAAAAAAAAATATAAAGTAAAATATGTACAAAATGACAAATAATAAGAAAAAATGGGTTAAACATAAGTTGCACGTTACATTAATTTTTGTCTATTTATTGATTGTTGAAATTAAAGGAAAGCATCTGGATATTTTGACAAATGTGTCGAACTAATCACGATAGAATATCATTATATATATATATATATATATTTATTTATTTATATATTTATATATATTTATTTTTATTTAGATGACATTACACATTCTGATAATTTTTCGCCTCCTTTATTATATTTACTATATATATATATATACTTTTATCTCTACATATGCTGTGATATATCTTGGCATACGATTTCTTGCTTCTAACGTCATTAAAAAACAACCATAACAAGGCTTTTCAACTCTGGAGCCTTAACTAATTTAGTTTTAAACTCTTTTCCTAAACAAACTTTTTTAATAACAGCATTGCAAGGAAGATATTGCTAATACTTAACTTATAATAACCATGAAAAATATCTTTTTACTTTCATTAAACCATAAGATTAATATCTTTTAATTGTTAATGATAGATGATACTACATTATCGACTACATCTAATATATTATCTTAGAGCAAACCTTCTGCCGGATTCATGACGCCATCATGCAGAATCGTTGCTACGCAACCAGCAGCTCCATAAACGAAATGGTTGATTGGAGGTCTCGCACTTTTAAACTTCTCCTTAAGACATTCGTAACAAGAGAAATACAAAGCATGCGCAGGTCCAGCTCCGAAAACCACTGCATTCACACCTCTGATTGGTCTTAATACACCTTCTTGTTGTATCATTTTGTACATTACTTTTCCTATTCCTCCTCCTCCTCCCGGGCCGGGTGTTAGTGCCTGNAAAAAAAAAAAAAAAAAAAAAAAAACAAAAAAAAACAAATTATCATTATTATAAAAACCGTTATCACAACTATAATGAATGACAAAATTTGTCATAACATCAATTATTTTGGTGATACTTCCTTGTTATCTCGCGAAGTCATCAAAAATGAAGAAACATTTTAAATAGGATGACTTGCTGACAATAACAGTGACTATCAACTGAATTATTACAAAAAGAACTGTGTGATGTTAGTGATTTTACTTGTGTGATGTCAGTTGATTTTACTTGTGTGAATAAATATGTGCATTTTATCGAAATATTTTCGTTAAATTATAAATGTCACTGATAGCTACATATATACTAAACCGTTTTATTCAATACACGCGAATATCTCCAAGAGGAGAAATGTTAAAAAAAAAAAATATGTTTCAAACAAAAATTTTATGGCTTTGAGGAGGAAAGATGACATTGTCAATTTAATTGTAGATGGCGCCACTCTTGAGATTTCATCATAGCGGCCATTTTTTTTTAATGGAAGTCGATTTTTCCTCGAAATAAAACTTGTAACTGGCAATAAGACGAAAACAATAATTTTTTTCTTTTTTGAAACTGGATCATTTTTCACTAAGTTACAGCTTGAGTTATCCTGCTGAGCTCTTAAATAAATGTTTCGAATAACAGCAGTATTAGGATGGCGCCGGTTTGGGTACCGAGCTTGATAAAGAACAGACCTTGACGATAATTAATACAACATTCGCCAAGAATTACCAACATGTCAACCCTTTTTTTGTGAAGAATAATCACCCGTAATTTTAATGTCAATGTAGATTTTAGCGCGTATCAAGTGTTAACCGCCGATAAGATAACCTATTCGAGTACTAAACTTGATCTCTTTACCAATAAACCAAGTAATATACAGCTCAATAAATAATCCATACCGCTACATTCAGTCTTATAAAACTAAACAAAACTAAAAGTCGACACTTTGATATACGATATGAAAAAATAACACTTATGTCGACATTACTATTTAATATTCGCGTATATTCAATAAAATTATCTATCCTGTATGTGTGAAATATAAAAATAAAATAGGGAATAGAATATATAGAACTTAAATGCACTTAAGATTTACAAATTTCAATATTCATAAGTAGAATGTTATTTAAATTATGATCAAATGTTGTGATTATACGATTTTACTCTACCATAATTTGAATTTATCATTAAATAACTACTTGTGTAATTAATATACGTAAATCAAAATTTGAAATATAAATTCAGGGAAATATATACTAGTATACATGCAATTTGAAGTAGAAACAGAAATAGAATCCACTGCAACAGACGAACTATGTTATATAAGAAATAGTAGTAGACATTTACAGTCTGAGTAAGAATGCAGCACACACACACACAACACACACACGATACAATTACTAGGAATTGTGTAGGCATTATCTCTGCTAACTAGAAAGTAATTATTCCTATTAATTATAAAAGAATTATAGTAATTAATGTTTGAATCACTTGCATATTCCTATTATATTGCTATGTTATAGAACATATGAAACATCCCACAATCATTACCACTGGATATTCAATAATTCGTAATATATAGATACAATAAGCCAGGTTCATTAATGAATATTGAATGCAATATTTACATTCATTGTTTTCAAAAATGCACAATAGAATTTTTATCAATTTGTTACGTTCGTTTAAACAATAAGAATTAACTTTAGCAATCCTTTATATATTAACCAGCAGAATGCTCTTAACATATAAAGTTAGTAAGTAAGTAATTAAGTTATTGTATTATTACTGTACTATTTTATAACTGTCAAATTTCACTAAGGATATTATATGTTTTGTGCAATTAATAGTTACAAAAATATACACATATGTCAGCAACTATGTTACATACATAAAATATACTTGATTTATAACAAGCTCTACAATCTCTGCTAGACTTGTCATCTAATATAATCGTGCAGTTGTTTTTTGTTTTCTTCTTCAGAACATAAGTTTTTCTCAGAGAAGTACTGGATAATACTAAAAAATGTTGAGTTTGTAATAACACTGACAGTGATATTCTTGCAAATTATTCGAAATCATTTATTTACCACACAATTAGAGTCTATTCATGCAGGCATATTAATTTGTACCAGATAAACGGTATTAGCATGATAAAATATTCGATGATGAACAGTAAATTCCCGGAAAACATGAAGGAAAAAGCGGTGTTTCGCTGAACTTTTTCCGACAGAATGTAGCGGGGAATTCCGTACAGCGATGTGCCTGAGGCGTCGATCCCGTGAAATTTCATTACAATACTTCAGGATGATCATTGAATGTTGCGGCGAACGATGCCGCTGGATGAATCGGCGAGTCCGGACGAGATGAGGTGAAGTGAGGTGAGGTGAGATTAGGTGAGGTTATGTATGAAGGCCATCGCACGGAGCCGGAAAAACGCACACGAAGAGAGAATAGAACGGTACAATACCTTGACACTGTCGAAAGGATACATGACGCAATGTTCCATAATTCCAGCCACGGCACCGGCCGTCATGTTCACGGCCACCGAGGTCGTCGGTAAACTCTCGTACTCGTCCTTACTCATTATTACGACACAATAGCGCACTCGGTCACAAGCGCGGTCGAATCGCCACGATGTCTCCCTCCTCTCTCACCCTCTTTCCCTCTCTCTTTCCCTCTCTCCCTCTCTGTCTTTTTCCTTTATTTTGCGTATTTGCGAGACACGTTGCGATGCCACAATGCCTCGATGTTCACTATGTTCACGTTTAATATTCAAATAATCTGGCAAATATTAGTAAGATTGACTCAGTCGCATTAGGTGGTAACATTTCACGGATTAGACGGATTGGCGAGCACGCACGTTACATGCATGCATCGACGTGTAATCGCGTGCGTTGATCGTTTCTTAATGCGCCCACATCGAATTCGAAGAGGCTCAGTGATCATCCCTTCCCCTCTTCGTCGACATACAATAAAATTCCCCTTTCCTTCTCCTCTCGTCCGCTTCGTGCGTTCTGCTAAATACTCTGTATTGCAGATATGGTACGTGCAGAAGTTGTATTTACATTTAATTAGCTTGTCGATTTACGGCAAGAAATGCATGACGAAATGAAAAATGATAGCATCGAGAAACACGCACACGATGTAACGGATAAACTTCAATTGAAACGATGCCAGGTTACAAGTAAGGTTATAATCAGATGCACGTGCTACGCATGCGTCGTATGCAACACGTGGGTTATACATGCATCCGTAACTGGTCCGTTCTTTTTAGCTACCCTGCTGAACTAGTACGATAAGTTAGAGCGAGACATTAAATGATGCTTTCCATTTGGTGACATACAAGATAACACAAGCATCATCCTATCGTTGTTCATTGAATGCGAAAAAAAGACAAAATGATGTTTGTGTCGGCTTATGTCACCAAAATAGAAAGAACCAACAGTGGCTCGCATGCGAGTAACAAAAGCAAGCATCGTGTGGCGAGGGCTTAATACACTAGCTTTCGTATCCTCGGATTGCGTTCGGGAATCCACATCGCACTAGCATACTAGTGCACTAACATACTAGTCGTTCCGAAATACTCAGTGTGGTTCAGTATGCATTCATGTGCATCGTTCGAAAATCCTCCAAGAGACGCACCGTGTGCCATCAAACCACTTGACGAAAAAACGGGAAGTCGATGGGTTACTATCTAGTTACTTCTGTCTTAACCTCTTCGTGGTGTAAATCTTGTCGATGAATAAAAAATGTCAGAGGATGTTACATTGATACAAGGACGGCATGAAGCCATAATGAGCGGGAATCATCCGATGCTTCATTCCTATGAGAATTTAGTAGTGAAAAATATTCAAGATAAATCATTTACATTGGCATTGAAAAAATATAAACGGAAATTGTAAAATTCGAATTTTTTTCGTATGTTATGCTTTAATATATATGGAAAATAAGACTTTTGCATAGATCTGAAACAGTATTTTTTTAACATTTCGCACACAGTGCTCGTTCATCATCGTTACTCACTAAAAGTTACACTGGAGCGTTCGGAAACCCTTAATAAACACGAAGGCACATGGTATCTTCACTACTTTCCCACCGAAATCGCGAAAACACACCACGAGCGGAATTCTCAAACGCAACCTCAGTTGCACATTTTCCCGATCAGAAGTTACTAAAACTTTTTTTTCGGACGCATTCATTCCTAGATAGTCATACATCGTGATTAGTGATTAGTCCTACGAAACCTACGGCTTAAGCCCGCATCAGATTATGGATTGAGATTGAATTGAAATTTGACCAGTGCAGAATTCATTAAATTTCACTAAACTTGAGTTTAGTTAACTTTACATTGATCGACTAAATTCAATTCAGTCTTCAATCCGTAGTCTGATACGGATTTCACGGTAGTTTTATTTGACCCCTTTATTGCCCGAAATTTACTAGAGTCGGTATTCATAATCAGATCTTATATTTAAGATTGTTTTAAGTTTACCTTCAGATACTGCATGACTCATTTCAATGGCTACGAAACGTCAGAAGATGAACTTGAGACGGGCTTTAAAATAAGATCCAATTATGAACACCAGCCTAAAAGTGCTCGTAACTAGAGACGTGCTAGTAACTAGAGACACTAGAAATAACATAGCGACATTAGTGTTGTTTAATTTTTGATTGGCTGGGTACATGGCGTAGCCAATTTGCGGTGACTAAACATGCGATAGAAGGCGAGATAGAAATGGGGGAAACACGAGCAAATAAACATTTTAACATTACACTTTTATTCAATAAATGTTAATATCAATGTTAATATCACAATAATATAGACATAAAGATATAATTTAATATTCGTAATGGAATATGGAAAGATAAATATACGCAGATAGTACGATGAATTTTTCGATGAATTCTTCTGAAAGTTTTTTCCTCTCCCGAATTGTAATTCTTTAGGAATTCATAAAAGAATTCTAGGAGAATGACCCACTAAGTTATATGCACCATAATTGGAATTCCTGAGAACTTCTTGGAGTATTCGTATTGATTCGATTTGTCGAATCGATCGAATCGATCGAACAGTTTCGCTGGGATCCGGCCGGAGCTAAGTGTGAGACAAGAAAATGAGTGGGAAAGGACTTGGCTGGTAAACGAATTAAATTAAACTGTTGTAGATTCTTCGCCAAGTTTAGATTTTACTTAACGGTAAATTTAACATGGGTTTTACAACAAATATGTAGAACAAAGATATCAAAGTAATGAACTAGATCTCGGAAATTTCGACGCATTCGAATGCTCGCAAGGTCGGGAATCTTGATTTTGCGCACGACGGAAATCTTAATTTTGTGAGATAATGAATGTATTCGAGTGGTTTTCTGATTCGCAAATTACCGAGAAGTTTTGTAAAAAGAGATAAGCTCGAGAGGAGGATCGTTTTGAGATACGTAACAACTTACTGATAACAGATAGCAACCAAGGTTTCTTGATCACGGGTTATACAATTGAAAAGATTATGTGGTTCGATCGCTTCTATTTGTCGCGAGCAAGAAATTTGTTTTTAAATTTGCGTCGCGTTGCGATTATGCGAATCACGTAATAACAATGGTTTTCTCATTCATACCGGTCTGATCGTCACGCGACATACACAAGGAGATCATCTTTTGGAGAAGTTTCTCGAATTCGCAACACATGTAGAATTACTTCATGTCAACAAATATGTATGAATCCAAGAGGGAATAGTATCTATGAGGAGAAAAAGGAATACAAAATACTCAATACATACAAACTAAAAGTAACATCAATATTATAATTTACCGCTTAACAATTTAACTTACGTATAATATGTGTTATGTATAATACTTATACTGTTGAGAAATTATAATATTGATATAATGTTTCTGTGTTAGAGTTGATAGGTATTGTGGGATTATTTGGTGAGGAACAGTTCCCCATAGCACTGAAATCTTTCAGAGATATTTCAGAAATGTTTCATGTGAAGTGAGACATCTCCGAAATGTTTCAAAATGTTTCTGAGACAGCTCTGAAACGGCTCTGGGACAGCAAAATGTTCGCAATTCTTGCATTTGAAATCTTCCTGAAGATGTGCCAAAAAGTTACTGGAATAATTATTTACGAGGGTGGTCCCCGAAGTACCCGACCCAACAAAGAAAACACAAAAATTTTGGAAAAAAATGTATTTATTTTTCAACATAATCTCCTTTCAGCTCTATACATTTTTCCCAGCGATGTTCAATAAGTTCGATATCCTTTTTATAATAAGAACTGTCTTGCTCCTCAAAATAGCCTTAACTGCTGACATCACTTCTTCATCGTTAGAAAATCTTTGACCACTGAGCCATTTTTTCAAGTTTGGGAACAGAAAATAATCCGAGGGGGCGTTTGTTGCTGTGAAACATCGCTAAACACTCAATTGAAACATCTTCACGACACTGTTTTTGCTCGAGCGTGAGCAAACGCGGCACCCATCTTGCACACAGCTTTCTCATGTCCAAATTTTGAGATAATATGCGATGTACCGCACTTTTTGAAATGCCTACTATGTCTGCTAGCTCGCGCACTTTCAGTCGACGATCATCCAGTACCGCTTTGTGGATTTTCTTCACCATTTCTGAAGTCGTCACCTCATTTGGTCGACCACTGCGATGCTCGTCTTGGCAGCTCGCTTTGTCTTCAACTTTCTTCAGTTGTCTAGGGCGTTCTTCATCCTGGAGATTGAAATTGCCATCCCAAAATTTTTATAACCACTTTTTACATATGCTATAAGACACAGCATTTTTACCTAAGGCCGAGCAAATCGTTTCCTTAATCTCGGCGGCAATTTTTTTTCAATTGGAATGCGAAAAGGTGACAGTACCTCAGATACTGCTTTTCAAACGATATCGCTTTCATCACTTGTTTTTTGAGGTTATATCAGCAGCACCGTCAACTATTATACTTTGTTTTAAAGATGAAAGGTAGCATTATAAAATGACTATACGGCGAGAAAAAAATTTTAATTTGAATAGGTACGAGAATTAAGTTGTACATTTGATATATATGATTATACATAAGATATTTTTCCCCAAATATCTGCCACGTATACATGATTTCATTTTGTCGAAAATTATCGTCTTATAAAGAAATATCTGTCAATAAAAACATTCATTAAATATTATAGGGATTATGTAATAATAAATTTTCGAATATATGTAAAAAGAGGATGTTTATTTATTTAAATATTATCTAAGTGAGTTGTCAAAATCTTTTGGACGAAAATTTTTTCGAAAATTTCTTCACTAAGAGTAAGATTTCATTAAAGTTTTAATTTATTATGATCTATATTTTAAATGTTAATTTATATACTTTAATCAAAATATTCAAATTTTGGAAATTGTTTATCAAAAAAATTATGTTTGAGGATGTTGGGAAAGTATTAATCAAATTCGAAGCTTCTACGGTCGCACAGTGATCGTATGTAGTGTGTGAAAGTTGGAAATTCATAAAGTCGACTCAACATTTAAAATGTTGAATTCGTTACCTTTAATTATTAAAAATCTCATACTCGGCATAGTGCCTTTTATTCCAAATATCTCTACGAAATATTAAAAAGAATGTCTCATTCTCCAATATTTTATACACAACCATGTTTACTGTCACGTGCGATCGCAGCTCTGACACTTCTTCACATTTTGTTCTAGCGTTTATTAGTGTACAGGTATGTACATATCGGTAGGAGATACAATTCCCACGAGTTCTTGTTTATTTGTACAAAGTCCGTGTAAAAATACAGCAGCCCCATCTTATATCAATTACAAGATTATAATACGCGATAAAAGTTAAATAATAACAGTCTCGTTTCGGGCGTATCAAATTCTGAATAAGTTAGGATCGAGACCATTTGTGTCCTCGTTTTGTCGACCCGAATCTGCGTGTTGTTTTGGCATGCGAGATAAAATCTTACTTCGCCATTGCTAATTGTCATTAAATAAAACAAGAAGCGTTCGAAGTTTAAAAGGAATGACTATAGTATTAGTACGAATGATTAATTTGTTCAATAACCGTCTAATCATTATCACGGTTACTTAACACTCATCAGCGTTAAAAATAGTAGTTTCGATTATTATTATTATATATTTCCTCGAGTGGCACTATGAGCGCACGCATACACGGAGAAAAATTTTACGTTAGCA